TTAAACAAAAAAAAATAGGTGACAAGACCCCCACCACTTCTTTCAGTACTTTGGATACATCATCCCATTGCCTCTTCCACCAAGGTTTCCGATGAGAAATTGGCTTTACTCTAACTGAGTATCCCTTCTATGTGGTGTCACTTCTCCCTTGTTCTTTAAAAATTCTCTTTGCCTTTGGCGTTTGATGGTGTGATTATGATGTGTTTTAATGGATCTCTATGAGTTTACCCAACTTGGAGTTTGTTAACCTTTGTGGATATGTGAAGGTTTTTTTAAAAAAGTCAAATTTGGGGTTTTTAGCCATTACATCTTCAACTATTCTTTCTGCCTCTTTCTTCCCTCTTTTTCCCTACAAGTGCAGTGTTGTAGGTTTAATGGTGTAGGTTCGAAGAATCTCTGAGGCTCTGTTCATTTTTCCTCACTCCATTTACTTTTTACTCCCCAGCCTAAGTAATCTAAATTGACCTTTATTCAAGTTCACTTGTTCTTTATCCTACCTGTTAAAATTGTTGTTGGGCCTCTCTAGTGATTTTTTTCATTTGTTATTGTACTTTTCAACAGAAAAGTATGTCCATATACTTTCCATTTGGTTCATTTTTGTAATTGCTCTCTCTTTACTAATACCCTCTGTTTGGTAAGACTTCACTCTAGTTCTTCATACTTCACACTTCACTCTATGAAGACTTCATACTTCACTCTAGTTCTTTAGTCATGGTTTTCTTTAGTTCATTGAATACATTTAAAATAAGTGATTTAAAAGTTCTTGTTTAACACACCCAACATCTGGGCTTTCTCAAGAACATTGTATACTGATTTTCTCCTGTGTTTAAACCATACTTGTTTCTTTGCTTGTATCTTTTTTTTGGGTGAAAACTGGACATTTTAAGAAATGTAACATGGAAACAATTGAAATCAGATCCCTTCCCCTTCCCAGGACTTTTCATTGTTGCTGCTCATTGATAATTGTTGATTTACCTGAATTAATTTTGTATTGTTTGTAATACATGGCTACCACAGTCTTGACTCAGTTTTCTACTGGTTGGCTAATTATCGATTTTCTTAAACTCTTGGAACCAGCAGATCTCCTGGTATTGGTCAATGTCCGAGTGTGTGCAGGGTGAGGCACACCCACGGCACTCATCCAGCTGGGTTGCGCCTCTGCCTTAGCCTTCACCTCCTGCTTTTTGCCGCCTTTGCTGAGCGAGCATAGGGTTCTCTGCACACTCGTGGCTTTTTGGATCCCTAGAAATGTGCTAGCGCTTTTCAATGTCTCTAAGTCATCACTTTCTTTAGTGTTTTCCTTTTAAGGTTTTTTTGTTGCTGGTCTACTGTTTGTCTCAATTTTTATTTATTGACTCTGGCAGCTCAACATTGAAACACTTGACTGCAAATGTTTTTAACAAACCCCACCAAGGAAAAGGGGTTTTAGTACTCTGCAGGCTCTCACCTGACATCAAATAAAGGCAAGCACTTTTAGTGGGGTTTCCAAGGAAGCACTAGGCAGTTTCCTTGGAGTTGAGGCTTTGAAAGATCTTCAGCTCCATTCTGCTCCCTTCAGTATTGGGAACGTGGGCTCCTAAGTTTGAAAGCCACTGCTGAGCCAGGGCTCCAGGAAGGGGAGTAGGACAAACTAAAACCAAGTTTGGTGTTCTTACTGAAATGCAGGCATTTTTCTTGAGTAAATGCCTCTTAGGTTGTTGCAAGACTGGTTCATTTCCAGAGTTCTAAAAAGGTTAATGCTGAAAGTTTTAATGAGTTTTTAATTATTTTTATGGAGGGACAAGCTTTCAGAGGTCCTTACTCCCCCTCCTCCCCCCATTTTCTGATGTTACCCTCAAATTATTTTTAAGCAGGAAGTTTACATGTTTAGATTCAAGCTAAACTTTTTCTCCTGTTAGCAGAAATCTTAGCTCTCTGTTTTCAGCTTTAGAAGGGAGAGTGGAGTCTGCACCACATATGCATGGTCCAGTGAACTGGGAGGTTATACACAGACGTGGTGTCTTTTTTCCTTGGTTCTCTCATTCAGGAATTCTTTCACTTTCTGGCCACTGTGGTTCTTCAAACCTCTGTCTTCAAGTTTAACAAAATAGCAGGCTTTATATCTGGGTTTAATTTCCCCATTTGACACAAACTCTGGCCTATCAGGTAAAAAGTCACAAAAATAGGAAATTCATTGAGTGCTGTTCCCTTCAACCAAGTGTTGAGTGTCTTCCAGTATGTTCCTGCTTTTTGTTTCTCTCGCATGTCTTTAAGTAGTGGTTATTTTAATTGTTTATAGTCTGTGGGGCAGGTTGGTCCAAGAGAAGGTACTTCTTCATTACCAGAACTTGAAATCCACAAGTGCATTTGATAATAATAAGTTCATTATTTAAAAAGCAACTCCATAGTTACTGAAAAGGCCAGCTTGTTCATTCTCCTCTTAAATGTCTAAAATAACTCTTTGGGAGCAGATCTATTAATGCCCAAAGTTGTTTTTTTTTTTTAAGGGAAGATAAAATATATGGAATATTTTATTTTCATTATGTTCATAGTGTCAAAAATAGACACCGTCCCTAACTTTCTGGACTCTACTCTGCCCCAGAGAAATCTCCACTTAGCAAATTAAGCAGTAGAGAATCAGAGGTAGGATTATTTACAGAGAAACAAGAATTTGGAGGCTAGACTGAAAGATGAGAAAGTCACATAAAATGATGTAGTAAGGACTAAAAAAGCATATAAAGTATTTTTCAAGCTGTGATGTACAGTTCAGCCAGCCCTCAAGGACCCAGAGGTGAGGAGAGCAACCTGGGAGACAGGCTTTAACTCTGGTGCGACGGACCTGGAGCGAAAGAAGGTTTGTGCTTCGCCATTTTCTCCTCTGTGAGACGATCTCAGAGGCCCCTTCCAGCTTTCAGGTTCAAATTCTGAGGGAGGCTGGAAATACACCAACACGATAAATGTTTTACCAGGTTGGTGGCACTCTGTGTGTACATTTTGGATATTTTGTTTCAACTCTAAATTTGTTTAATGGCATTTTAGTAAGTAAATGTAGATTTATGGTTTTTTTTTAAATGGAAGAATTAGAGACCAAAATTTTGAGTTAGATCCCTTCAGAAATGCCACTTTGGCACCATCTGCTGGGGAACTTTTAAAATATTTTCTGTATGTAACCTTTCTTACTACTTTACCGAAATGATTTAAAGGAAAAACTGTTGATCTTTACATCTAAATTGAGTACCCTGTCAGCTTGTGTTAGTAGAAATTTAGGTATAAATTCAGTATCACTTAAGGGGCACAGAACACATGTAAACAAATCTTAGAATGTATTTGAATTTTATGTGCATGCATCTGTTTCAGCTGAGTCTGACAATGTTTGCTGCACTTTTCATAATGACCTTGACTGTCTTTTGAAGGCCTGTGCACCAGGTACTTGATACACATTATGTTACTTGGTTCTCTAACAAGCAAACACTTTCTCCCAGGACATTGACGACTCAAGGATGCTTCACAGCAGTACTACACCAGCCTGTCACTTGCCAGGAGGGTGCTCTTGGGCAGGTTACTGAACACTGTTTTCTTATTGATAAACTCACTGGTGGACCTGCCACGGCACAATGAGACAATGGTTAGGAAAGCCTGGCCCTACGCACTCCACTCTCCCTAAATCACCGTCACTGCTATTCCAACTTGCTTTTCCTCTGGAAACACCCGCCTTGGCTGTCCCCAGGACCGGCAGCATTTCCATCCACTTGGGACAGGATGGGTTTCACTTACTAAAGGATTAAGCTGTGGTCTGAGACAACACTTATTTCTGGAGTTTCTGGTATCACATAGCCCAGTTATGGCACTATAACTGTCTACATAATTATTTCTCAATGTTTACCTGAAAAATTGGGACGGAACAGGCTTTTAAGTCTCCCTCAGTCTGTTGCCCCAAAGGAACCTGTGGTAGAAGCTCTTGGTTGTCTACCCAAATCCATCTACCCCTTGCGCAGCACTGGAGCAGCAGGCAGGCGCGGAGCTGCTGAATCCCCAGTGTGACTGGCAGTCTGCTGCAGCCAGGCTGGCTAAGCTTTTGCCAACAGAATACGCCGTGAAGTGATGTGCGCCACTGACAGTTTGCGCCCTACAAAACGTCCCAGGTTGGAGGAGTTGTCCCTGTCTGCTGGAGGATTGCGGTGACGGGCCCTGGAGATGGCGGCCCACAGACAGAAGTCAACCGTGGGTCCCCCGAGGGACTGGGGGGCAGGACTGCCCTGCCCACTTCTACACCCAACCTACAACCCCTACATAATTAAGAAATACCCTTTTCAGTCTTAACTACCGAAATGTTGTGATCAGGTTGCGACCATGGCCACGCTGAACCGAAACAGTGACCACAGGTGCCACTGTGAGGCATTTCCATTCAGCCCTTCCTATTACATGGAAAATAGTTCACGTGTGCCTGTGTACCGTACTTCTTACAGTAAGTATTTTTCTGTGTTACACATTCTTCATAATAATTTAATGGCTGCAGTGTTCTGTAAGTAGCTGGTTAAACTGTAGGTCACTTTTTACTCTATTGTTGACATTTGGTTTGTTTCTAATTTTGTCTCTAACTAATGCCATTATGAACATTTTTTGTGCAGAAGCCTTATTCTACATTTTGAATTACTTTAAAAACCATCATCAGAGTTGGCATTATTCCCAGGTTATAAACACACTGCTGAACTTCTTTCACAAAGACTGAATCAAATACATTGCCATCATTAATGTGCTAATTTCATCAGACTTTGAAAGCAAAAGGATTTTACAAATATGTAAGAGTGTACATTTAGGTCAAGTGGATTTTAAAAAATTTCCCAATCTTTTATTTTGCATTTCTTTGATCACCACTGAAGTTGAACACTTTTACGTGCTTGCTAATTAGCTGTACCTTCTCTTAAAAATTTTATGTCCTGCCATAAACTGGAGTCTACATTTTCTGTAGATTTACACAATCTAGCACTAATAGATATTATCAAGAATCAATAATCCAAAAATTCAGAAAGCAATTTATTAAAAGTCAGAACAAATATTAAGGCACAAAATACATCATCTTTTCAAACAAAAATCTTTGAAATAGCTTTGTCCTACATTCAAAGCAACTTCTTCCTTATACAATAATTTAACTTTTTTAAATAGAAAAATATAACTACTTAAGTCCCTAAATTTCTTCCCAAATACATTTTTCTATTTCTTAAGAAGTTTCTTAGTGCGTAGTTAAGCTTCAGTATTATAATGTACACTTTCTTGGAAGTCCTGTTTGCCATTTGCACAGCTGCTATGTTTAGGACTCTACTTGTCAGTATGAGACTGGTGTTCTGTGCTGCCGACTGCATGCTGTTGGCCGTACAAAGACACAAGCGCCAACACCAGGGACTTGGAAATAGCATAAGATCTCAACATTAAACCAGTCATGTGTAGCTTAGTGCAACAGACTCAAACCCCTTTTTTAAAAAGGATATAAAAAATCAACGGTATATGTACATTTTTATACTTTCAGCCTTGACATTCTAGTAGTGCAAACATAATGTACCATATTACAGGGGTAAAGCTGGTCTGCCCTACAGGATAGGGAAGATTAAAAAATTATTTTCTTTACAGAAAAAGTATGGAAACATCATCTCTCAGCCTTAAAAATTCATATTCATCTATTTTTCTAATTTTTGAAATAAACTTAATTATCCTTTAAAGTAGATACTAATACTAATCTAACCCAAATAGTGAAAATTCCCTTTTAAGCAAATTTCACACATCATGTAAATCTAACATGAACTGCAAAATGCTTTTCTAAGCCTTCTGTCTAGAAAAACATAAAACTGGACTATTATTCTCAGATCTCTTCATTAATATATTGGAAGACCCATCTGGATGGCATCCTAAGAATAAACTAATCTGACCTTGATGAGCAATTTCTGGAACCTTCACGCAGAAGCAGGATGACAGCTTCACAATGGCCCTGGGCGCTACTTGGCCATGTGTCCTTTCTATGAACAAGCAGTCCTAGGGCGCCCCCTCCTGTTCATAGGAGGAGGTTCAGAAGACCCTGCCCAAGAATTCTTGATTCGGGTCCCTGGACATCAGCAGAGGACACAGTAATCACTCACGGACAGTGACGGACACAGTGCAGGCCCTTTGAAAAATAGCATTTCTGACAGGCCATCGGGAGGAAACCCTACCTGCTTTGGATGGTGAGGGAAGCCTGCACTTCAGTCTACAGCTAAGCCACCTAGGTTCCAGCATTAATTTTTCTGGCCGCAGGAAGCAGCGTTTTTATAAACACTACTGAGATTACTAGGTCAGAGGCAGTTTGCTGCCTCACACTGACCATCAGCCCCCAATCTCACCCCACTAGCCGGCAGCTCCTACGGGCCAGACGCCCAGGATTCTACATTCAAAATTCAGCTATAGGAGTTGGGGTGAATCTTCCTTGAAATCCAGGCAGTGGTATTAGATAAAAATTGAGGAATGAGAGGGCAGTGGTCACCTCCTGATCTGAAACAACTTGGGCGGGGGGCGAAATACACCAAAACCAGAGAGGACATGAATGGTGGGACATGCACAGGGTGGGAGCCCCGGAGAGTGGGATACTGGGAAAGGACTGGAACCTACACCAGGAACTCGGACACTCTTCTAGGAAGGACACCCAAAGTGACAGCATCTTGACCAGCATGTCCTGTTCAGTACAACACCTAATGAAGGTCACTACTTTAAGTCACTACTGAAAATAAATTGGAAAGTATCTTTCAAGAGACTATTGGAAATAAATCCTTTTTTACTAGCCCTTGTGAAATAGGTAAATGAGAAACAAATTCCAAAGAAAAAATTTTGAAAAAATCTTTTGTGGCTTCACAATGAAATTAAAAAACAGAAAAGTTGTATTTAAGAGCTTATAGTGGGGAGGACTTCAATGCTTCTCAATCATAATTCCCTGGAGTCAGTCCTGATTTACAAGGTTAGATCTCCTTCCAAGAAAGACACACACGATCCCGACTTTCACTCCTGCTCTAAATGCCCGCCAGCCCTGCATCTCTGGTCACTAAAGCAGCAGGCAGCACATTTCCATCGCACTACTTTCAATGGCCTTTCACGTTTAGAATGTTCTGCATTAAAAATAATTAAAACAAAAAATTTCAAATCACACATTGCAATGTAACAAAATAATGTATAAACCATGGTTAAAGGTTAAGAAATTAGTTGCAAGATTAACAGTGATGTACTGTACAGTTAAACATATGTGATATCATGAAATCAAGTATGCCAAGGTTACACACAAGATAAGGTCCTAGCTTCCTCCAGGGTAACCCGGGAGGAAGAGCTCTGGCGAGCTGCGCGGCCAGGTGTCCACAGCCTGCCCCAGGCAGGTTCAGCAGCAGCACGTGCACATACAGCCTGAGTGAGGGGACAGTGGCAGAGCAAATCTTTGGAAGTGACCCTCAAGACCTCTCTCTCCATGTACTTGTGTCCACTGAGCTCAAAGAGAGAAGGTGTCCATGACTTGTGTGCACCGTGGTAATGAAAACCAGGTCTTTGTGCAAGCGTGCGCACTCTCACAGGACAGCCATGTAAATGTCCTATGTTCCAATGTAAACCAAATGTCACTTATTATCAAACTGCTTCAGTACAAAAGTAAAGGAAATTCTTACTGCACCCAGCTAAATATAAACCCAGGAGATGGAGGCAGTGTTTGACCACACTTCGTCTACCTCTAAAATCATGGAAAGAACAGTGGGAGTGTTTACGTTAAAAACAAACAAACAAACAGTTTAAAGCTGAAAGTGCCATATTTTCCAAGAAAAACATACAACCCAATCTACATATCTGCCACCCATTCGCTCAGGTCATTTGGGCATACACTGATCATAATACTTTTCTCACATTATTTCTAAGTCCAGGCAATTTAAAGGACAGGAACTGACATTCAAGAGCTGCTTAAAAAGGGTGTAGAACCCGTCCACCACTTAAATTCTTAATTTTAATACACAGATTTCAAGATAATGCAGTCAGAACTTGTCGCATGACTTCTTTGAGTCCTGGGGAGTCCTTCACTGGTAACTAGGTCTCATGCATATGGTTCCAATCACATTATCTTTTCTGAAGAGAACATTTTTTCTGCCATTTCAGATCTGGTCATGATTTCCTAAAAACAAACAAACAAACAAACAAACAAAGATACTCATCAAAGTGTAGATGCTTCTTCCAGAACCCACCAAATTCTCTAATCTTTCAATAGTCATGATTTTTGTGGGGACGTGAGTATATTCCACAGTATGCAAAGAAGTATTAGATACAGAAAATAAAACCATATAACCCATATTTCCTAGTGCATACAAGGGCGGGGACCCCCCAAACCCTGGAATTATCTTCTGGAGGGCAGGCCCCCTATAATACAGGCTTCCCCCACTAGGTGAGTGTTCTAAAGCCTGCGTTCAGCCTCAGTGAATTGTTTTTGAAGACTGTCAGTGTTTTTGCCCATTTCATGATGGGTGACTTTGAGTGCACCTGCCCACATCGCACTGAGTGGTCAGCAGTTTTTGACCAAAAACGGCATGACCCTTGTGCCCCATCCTCCCTATTCACCCAATCTTGCCACAAGTAGCCTTTTCCCCCCTCAAATGAAAAAAGTCCTGAAAGGGAAATGTTTTGCTGACATGGAAGAGGTGAAATAAGAAATGGTGGAAGCACTAAGAGGCATCAAAATTGACGAGTTCAAAAACTGTTTCAAGCAGTGGAAAAATGTTTTGATGGATGTACTGCATCAAATGGAGAGCACTTTGAAGGAGACTGAAGTTCAAACATGTAATAAACACACAATTTTTAATAAATAAATTCCAGGTTTTTGGGGGTCCACCCTCCCATATAGTCAATTAATTACCTGCTGAGTTCAGGAAGCATTAACGTCCCATTAGCTAGAGCACATTTTGAGCTCAGACTTACCAGGGAGCAGCAGGGACAGGAGTTTGTCTGGAGATTTGCTTCACTTTACCAACTAATGAACTTTTAAGTTATAAATCAATGATTTATCGTATGAATGCTATAAAGGCCCTTTTAAGAACAGTTTCACGGCAACGGCAGTTACAAATCCTGAGGCCTGGCTGCTTTTCACCCAGGCACAGGTGCGCTGTAGCCTCTCAGAACTCCCCACCCCAAGACAATCGGTCAGCAGGCTGACGCCAGAGCCACTGCCCTTGCCTCCAGGAACAAGCCGCGGCTCCCTCCTTGCAAGTCCCTGCTCAGCACCACTGACTGCCCTGGACTCTCTTTGCGGAAGCTGATGTTCCCGCAGCCCTCCTCGCAGCAATTCTTACACTTCAGACTCCCGCCTGTCTCGGGCCACTTTTCAATGTCCAGGTGATCCCTAACTAATTCCCTCCCCAAAGCCTTCCTACATCTGCATCCTCTATTCAAATGTCCTTAGTAAATGAAAATCAGTCAGAAATCCTAACACCCCAGCAAAATATCAGCAAGTATGAGATTATTTAGACCAAGCAGCCATCTTCTAAACTCTACCCATATATGAGATACTCAAAATTTCATAAAATAGTTCTCCCCTCTTTTAATGGGTTGGCCAAAAAGTTTGATTTTTTTCTGTAAGATGGCTCTAATAGCACTTAGTTGTTTTTAATGTCTTTCAAAACAATTTTGTTTATATTGTATTGTGACAGCTGTCATATCAGCCTGCATTTGAAAAAAATTTATCAAATTGATGAATTTTTGTGTAGCCGTTTTAATACTGAAGATGGAAGAAAATATACAACATTTTAGGCATGTTATACTTTATTATTTCATGAAAGGTAAAAATGCAACTGAAATGCTTAAAAAGATCTGTGCAGTACACGGAGAAGGTGCGGTGCTGATGGAACGTGTGAAAAGTGGTCTGTGCAGTGCTGTGCTGGAGAGTTCGCCCTGGGCGATGCTCCACCGTCAGGGAGACTGGTGGAAGCCGACAGCGATCAAATGGGGAATTGAGACGATCAACGCTGTACCACCTGGGAGACAGCCGATATACTCAAAATGCCAAATCAATAAAGTCCTCAGTGAAAATGAAAAACGTGTCTTTTATCTTACAGAAGAAACCACATGGACCTCTTGGCCAGCCCAGTCCACCAAAAAGCATTTATCTTGCTCCCATTTTACATGAAGATCCAGTTCCTTTAAGCTTTACCCACAAATCAACAGTGTCTTTTAGCCTGCTCAATCTGCACCTGTTTTAGAAAGTAACTTTCAGAATTTCTTTCTGAAATGCACTTCTACTTTGTGAAAAATAATAGCCCCAAGAAAGTTAGTGAAAATATATTTTACCTCATCTGAATCTACTAACACTGGAAGAGCTCTGAAAAAGAAAGAAAAAAATGTTGATGGTTACTGAAAGGCTGGTGTATCTATGGAAGATGAGTGGGACACACGTGGCTGCTCCACTACCCACCTCCCAGCCGGACGCAGCCAAGGAGCCGGTGGGGCTCCCCAGCTGCCATGGAGGACTTTTACTGCTGTTGTTTCTAAGAGCCCCAAAGGGGTGAACTGGCACATTCATATAGTGAAATGCTATGCAGCCCCCTAGAAGGTATGACTCCTCCAGGAACAAAAGTTTAAAAACTGATACGAGTCATCTACAGGTACATATTCAGGACAGCAGCACCTTTGAGAAAGCGAGGTCATGGCTTGGGAGGAAAACAAGGTGGTTCTTAGGACAGGCAGTGTTCTACTTTTTGATCTGGGTGCCGGTTACATGAGTGTGCTCGCATTAAAAATTTACTGAGCTACACACTCATTTAGAATGTGTACACTTTTACGAATGCGTGCTGTACCCCCACAAACTTCAGTAAAAAACTAACTGAAATGTGAAAATAATCATAACTTCAAAACGGAAACTACAGAGGCGGAGAGAAAGCGAGACCAGCAGCGCTGGAAGAGGCTGTGCTAGGGGGACGTCTGCGCCCGAGCTGCGCCAGCGAACGACCCCACACACGCGGCCCCAAACACTCGTTTGCCAGCCCTGCCGGTTTCTACCTCGACTGCACAGCCAGTGTCTGAGTGGCACTGTGCTGTCCAATTTGAGAACCCACGTGCTTCTGAGAGAACTCGGCAATGAATTAGGTGGACTTCAGTCATCACTTCACTATGTATGTACGTATCAAATCATTGCGATGTACACCTGATATGTACATAAGCCTTATTAAAATATACACATGCTTAAAAAAGAGGGATGAGCAAACATTATAAAAGGTGGGAAAATATTTATGGAATCAGGTGTTTGTTTAATTCCATGTCTTTATTGTCATTGACTGGGCGTAAGCTAACACAGTACACTGGAGAGAGAAAAAACTACCTAACAGAAGCTTTGCTTGGGAAAAATAATATGATAAAAAGACAAGTGTAGCCTCGATGTGTGAGAAAGCTTTGAGGGAGCACCTGAAGGGCACGTCTGTGCCAGGCCACAACCTGAAAGTCCCATCCACACTTAAGCCCAAGGGTGGATGCTACCTGCAGTGCAGTCCCTAGTGATGGAGGAACAGACACTGGGAGACAAACTGATGTGCGAACCTGACGTAATGAAAGGAGCTTGTTTGGAACAACATCACTAAGGAAAATCCAGGGGGAGACAGCTTCTGGGGAGACAGGAACCAGAACCCGAGAGTCTGAGCACAGTCATTGGGCACTTAGCTCCTTGTTCACAAATAAATACTAGCTGCCTCAAAAGTGGGTCTGCTAGGTAAGTAACTACCTAAAACTTATTCAGATGTATTCAGAGCCACGAAGAGGAAGGCAGATGATGCTAAGCTGAACTTTAAGGCTGGTCAGAGATAAGGAAAAGCCATAATGAACATGACCACATATGAGTAGCTCATGATACAGCAGATCACACGGTCATTCATCATCAGTTTAAACTTCCTATGACTTACAAAACTTTTGTTTTATTTTTACAGATGTATAAAAAAGGTTTCCCTGTGTATGAAGTCTAACTTCCACACATGCTATGTGAAGTGTACATTTATTTTGAGGAGCATTGCACTAAATTTCTTGTGTTAGTTTTCAGAAGTGAACAACACAGATTTCTAAGAATCTAAAACACTGGAAACTAATTTGGATTATACAGCTCTACTCATTTCACATAAACTGTTCATGAGAACATATGAGATCTCTAAGTCTTTTATAGTCCGAAAGAATTTTTGTAATCAAGCACATATTTCTATTTACAGGAAGAAGAATAAAGTGATGACTTCCCAAAACATGAAGAAAATTGCCAGGAGCCCTACTGCTTTCCAGGAAGTGGGGATTCTGCTGGGATAACTTCCTTCTGAAGTACTTAGGACCAAGTTACCAAATCTGGAAGACAACAGTTGTCACATAATCTGAATCTTTCCACACACCTTTGCTCAAAAACACCTGAAATCCCTAAAGATTGCAAATAAAGCCAAACACAATCTGTGGTTTTCAGCATTTCCAGCAGAGCACCACAAACTGGAAATTACATGTAAGCAGAGAAGTAAATGCCACTTCTAACAGATTCCCTGTTGTCACCACGAGCTCATGAGCACACAGTGGGAAAAGAGAAGTTTGAGGGATTGTGTGAAGAGTAGAGGGGAGGGAGGACAGCCAAAACAAAGACATAACCAACCTCAGCAAAAACCCCAACACTAAACACCAAAGCACTGAGTAAAGGCTGGTGACCTACTACAGGGACGGGGCTTACAGTGAGCAGAATCGAACGGAGTGGCTTGGACAGGCATCCAGGCTTCTGGTCAAGATGGAGGCGTAGGTAAACATGGCTCACTTCCTTGTACAACCATCAAAATTACAACTAAACTACAGAACCACCACCACTCAGAACCATCAGAAATCAAGCTGATGGAAGTCTCACAACTATAGAAAGAAACCACATCCATCTGGACTGGTAGGAGACACACAGACATGGAACGGGCAGGTGCTACACCCACATGTGGTGAATAAAAATTCAGGAGGGGATATCTCTGGAGTGAGAGAGCTCAGCTCAACACCAAACCTCCCAGCCCAGGGTTCCAGTGCCAGATGGATACATCCTGAGCACAGTTTGAGTAGGTGGGGCCCGCACATGAACTTACTCAGACTATGCCCTATAGCTCCACACTGGGGTAGCAGCTTGAAAGGCACCAGTGGCATATAGAGAGAAACCGAAGTGTCTGGCATTAAGGTGAGAACTGGGGGACAGCTTTCTCCCAGAAAGAAAGGCAGGCAGAGGCCACTGTTCCTTTTCTGAGCCTTCCCTGCACAAACCTTGAGGGCTGGCAGGCAGAGGCCATATCTGAGAATTCATCAACCTGGCTCACATGGTTTTCTCTGCCCTGGGGAATACCTGAAACTCTGACCCACCCAACTTATGACCCAGGCAAGCTGTTAACAGTGGCTTTTCCACACGAATGGCTGATCTCCACTCAACTTCACGTCTTTCTAAATGCACTCAAGCAACAACCAGCTTCAGTAAGTGCCCAATTCCTGTACCTCTGGCTAAGTGGCCTCAAGCCCAGCACTAGCAGCAGCCAGCTATGGATCAGTTTGGCATCGCCTGAGCTCCTCCAAGCTCATTACAAATAGCAGCTATCTGCAGATTGCTTTGTAGCTCGTGATGAGGGGCTCTAGGCAGAACACAGGCTGTGGCTGACCCTGGCCTGGACCACTCAAAGAACCCCAGAGCCTGTGGGCCCAGTGGATAGTTGCAGACCACATGGGAGCACCAGAACCCTGCCCCTACACAGCTGATCTTCCGTGGAGGTCAGAAGTTGGTGGTCAGTGGCCATAGCCAGTCCTTGCAGCTGACTGACCTGAGGAAATCCCTCCCATTGACCTGCCAACAGCAAGCCAGGCTCAGTTACAAGAGGAGGGTGTACTCAGACCACATGAAGGGCACACTTTGAGTTTCCAGCTTGGTTGATAGGGGAGGCTGTGCCACTGGACCCTATAGGATACCTACTGCATTAGGCCATGCTACCAAGATACAGAGTCACAGCAGCTCTACCTAATACATAGAAACAAACACAGGGATGCTGTCAAAATGAAGAGACAAAGAAACACAGCCCAAATGAAAGAACAGATCAAAGCTCCAGAAAAAGTACTAAACAAAATGAAAATGAGCAAATTATCAGATGTACAATTCAAAACACTGGACATAAGGATGCTCAAGGAACTTAGTGAGGTTCTCAACAGCATAAAAACAGATATAGTCAGAAACAAAGGATACACTAATTGAAATAAAGAACAATTTATAGAGAATCAAAAGTAGAATGGATGAAGCTGAGAATCAAAGCAACAATATGGAACATAAGGAAACAAAAAACAACCAATCAGAACAAGAAGAAGAAAAAAAATAAAAAAAACAAGGATAGTATAAGCAACCTCTGGGACAACTTTAAGAGTTCCAACATTTGCCTCATAGGGGTGCCAGAAGGAGAAGAGAAAGAGCAACAAATTGGAAATCTATTTGAAAAAATAATGAAAGAAAACTTCCCTCATTTGTTGAATGAAATAGACATGCAAATCCAAGGAGAAGAGAGAGTCCCAAATAAGGTGGATGCAAACAGGCCCAAACCGAGACACATCATAATTAAAATGCCAAAGGTTAAAGATAAAAAGAATCTGAAAAGCCGCAAGAGAAAAGCAGTTAGTGACCTATAGGGGAGTTCCCATCAGACTATCAGGTGATTTCTCAAGAGTCGTTGCAGGCTAGAAGGATTGGCAAGAAATATTCCAAGTCATGAAAAGGAGGGACCTTCAGGCAAGACTGTTCTACACAGCAAACCTATCATTTAGAACCAAAGAGTAGATAAGGAACTTCCCAGACAAGAAAAAAGTAAAAGAGTTAATCATCACCAAACCATTATTATACGAAATGTTAAAAGGGACTTATTTAAGAAAAAGAAGAAGATAAACTATGAACAATAAAATGGCAATAAACAACACACCTATTAACAACTGAATCTAATAAACTAAACAAACAAGAACAGAGAGAGAGAATCATGGATGCAGAGACTGTTTTGATAGTTGCCGGATGGGAAGGTGTTGGCGGGGAATGGGTGAAGAGGTGAGGGGATTAAGAAGTACATATTGGGCCCTAGCTGGTGTGGCTCAGTGGATTGAGTGCTGGCCTGTGAATCAAAGGGTCACTGGTTCGATTCTCAGTCTAGGGAACATGCCTAGGTTGCAGGACACGTCCCAGTTAGGGGGCACGCCTGAGGCAACCAGACACTGATGTTTCTTTCCCTCTCCCCTCCTCTCTCTAAAATAAATATATAAAATATTTTAAAAATAAAAAAAGAAGTACAAATTGGTAGTCAAAGAATAGCCAGAGGAATATAAAGTACAGTACAGGAAATAGAGTAGTCAAAGAACTTATATGCATGACCCATGGACATGAACAATGGTGTGGGGACTGCCTGAGGAAGTGTGGTATGCTGGGTGGGTGAGGGGAGGGGGAAAATTGGGACAATTGTATACTTTAAAAGAAAAAAAAACCAAATGTAGTAGCTTGAACAGTCATGGTTTTCAGGGGAAAGTCAAACACACAGAGGAGTGGTATTCCTCAGAAACATGACAGCACAGTGAATAAAAAAGGAAGAAAGCAAAGTTAAAGACTCTGCAAAAATAAAAGAAAAAATAAGATAACACCAACCTCTCTTCTCTCCAAACTTCCCATCTCAACCACATTACCCACAAATGAAACTATAATTTATGTAACTTGATGAAAGAAAGCACTCAAACTAGGCAGTCTCACCACAAAGTGCCTAGAAATAGGAAAAACAGAGAAAACCAACTCCATATAATGGTGGAGAAGAAAAAAACAAAAAGAAAAATCAAGACATTTTTCAGTGGAAGAGAGCTATAGCTATAATACAACTCTCCAAATTAAACAAATTAAAAAGAACATTTGGTGATATTAAAAACAATAATAAATTTAATTTTAAAAAAACAATAAATAAATTTAAATTTCTAGAGTAAGAAGTTTAAAAACCAAGAACAAAAATGGATAAAAACAAAAGAGGAAGAAAATAAAAGAATTAAACACCCGGAAATAATTAAAGGAAAAGACAAAATCATCCCTATAATGAAAAAATAGCAAGGTTGCTATGGAAGAATAAATATAAATAAAAATTTAATATGTGGTAAGGAGACAACTAAGAGAATGAGAATGATGAAAAGGAAGAAGTAAAAATAATCATAGAGAAACTGTTGAAAATGGAAGATAGTAGGTAAAGGTGAAAAGAAAAGATCAGATGATTCCTCCCACACAAAGATGTATATAAACATAGACAAAATTATTAAAAACAAGTAGTTGAAGGCACTGCAAAATAACCAAGGGGAGTGGGTATACTGATCCAAGTAGCTCAGCAAATTCCAAGGAGCATATGCAAAAAGAAAACCACATCTAAGCACATTACAAAGACACTGCAGGAAGCCAAATACTATAAAAAATCTGAAGAGCAGTAAAATAAATGACACATTACACACAAGAGAACAAAAATACAATACAACTGACTTCTCTACAAAAACTATACAAAGAGAAGGTACTGGAAGGACATGCTGCAAGTGTTCAAACAAAAGTCAACCAAGAATTTTGTATCCAGCAAAACTATCCTTCAAGAAAGGAGGGTAAAGAACCCTGGCTGGTGTGGCTCAGTGGACTGAGTGCCAACCTGAGAACCAAAGGGTCGCCAGTTCAATTCCCAGTCAGGGGACATGCCTGGGTTGCAGGCCAAGCCCCTGGTGGGGAGCATGCGAGAGGCAACTACACATTGATGTTTCTCTCCCTCTCTTTCTCTCTCCCTTCCCCTGTCTCTAAAAATAAGTAAATAAAATCTTTAAAAAAATTACTTTATAAACAAAGGAGGGCAAACAAATACATTTTCATATAAATAAAAGTGAGAAAATTTGTTTCTAGCAGAAATATATTATAAAAAATAATAAAGACCTATAGGAGATGGTGATAATTCAAGACATACAAGAAGGAAAGTACTAGTAAATGCATGGCTAAATATAAAGGAATATATATACACCTATTTTCCTTTTCTATCAAAAAATATAATAGTGTATTGTTAGTATAATATATATGTTGTCCCCACTTTGCATAAATCTGATGTGTGTGAATTTAAATTACTATAATTTAGTTAAGTAACACTGGTTCCTTAACAGGACAGTTCAAATTTCAGTTACTAAAAAGCACAAGATACCATAACCACTAAAAGAGCTAAAGCCAAAAAGGTGAGCAATAACAGGTGTTGATACAGATGTGGAGAAACGAAAAGCCTCATACATTACTATAGGAATAAAAACGGTTCAGCTGCTGGGAAAACAGCCTGGCACTTCTCCAAAATATTAAACATACACTCACCATATGATCTAACAATTCCATTTTTAGGTATATACCCAAGAGAAATGAAAATATATGTCCACACAATGCCAAGAATCACCATATTCACGGTGATGAAAACCAAAGATAAGGGAGAAAATCCTGAAGGCAGCCAAAAAACTAAACAAAACAAAAATTCCACAAATAGAACCCAGGTAATATATGGAGGAACAAAGAAGAACTAAACCAGACTTCTTTCTGAAATTATGAAAGCTGGAGGACATCAAGTAACAATCTTTGAAGTGTTAAGAGAAAAAAACTACGAATTCTATACCCAGCAAAAATACCTTTCAAAAAAGCTAAAACAGAGCCCTGGCTGGCGTAGCTCAGTGGATTGAGCGCGAGCTGCAAACCAAAGTGTCACAGGTTCGATTCCCAGCCAGGGTACATGCCTGGGTTACAGGCCATAACCCCCAGCAACTGCACATTGATGTTTCTCTCTCTATCTCCCTCCCTTCCCTCTCTAAAAAAAAAAAAAATCTTAAAAAAAAAAGCTAAAACAAAGACTTTTTCAGACAATAAAACCTGACAGATCATTGCCAGGATACCTGCACTGCCATGAAGGGTATTCTTCAGGCAATCAGAGTGCCATACTAACAGGAACTGTCTGAATAGGAAGCAAATGGGAACAGGAAAAGGAAGGAACAATAAGTGAAAACATCACATCTGTCTATCCTGACTACTTTCCACTGTGGAACTGGCTCTGGAATGCTAGGGTTAAACAGAACATTGATCAAGAAGACCCTGAATAGTTCAAAGTTCCCAAAGGGACTTCATCTGCACTCTATTTTTCCTGTGCTCACATTTTTCTTCCAAAAGCTTTCCTGCTATACGTGATTGTGTGGTTATGTGTTAAAGAAAAGTATTCTACATGTGTTTGAACTTTACCAAAATAAAAAAGTTAAAACAAAATAAAATGATTCAATCCTATAAACAAAGATCAGAAAAGGCTGGAGTTGGTAGTAGAGTACAAGTATTAAAATAGTTATTGTACAGTGGAAAAGAGTGAAGACAGACAATCCAATTAAAAAATGGGCAAAGGACCTGAATAGATATTCTCCAAACAGGACATACAGATGGTCAATAGACATATGGAAAGATGCTCAATGTCGCTAATCATCAGAGAGATGCAAATTAGAACTACAACAAGATATCACCTCACAACTGTCAGAATGGCTGTCATCAATAAATCAACAAACAACAAGTGCTGGTGAGGATTTGGAGAAAAGGGAACCCTTGTGCACTACTGGTGGGAATGCAGACTGATACAGTCACTGTGAAAGGCAGTAGGAGATACCTCAAAAAAATTAAAGATGAAACTGCCTTATGACCCAGTGACTCCATTTCTGGGAATTTATCCAAAGAAACCCGAAACATTAATTTGAAAGAATATGTGAATTCCTGAGTGCACTGCAGCATCATTTACACTAGCCAAGATCTGAAAGCAAGTGTCCATCAGTAGATGAGTGGATAAAACAATTATGGGACATTTACACGATGGAATACTACTTGGCCATGAAAAAAAGAAAATTTTACCCTTTGTGACAGCATGGATGCATCTGGAGAACATTATGCTAAGTGAAATAAACTAGTCAGAGAAAGACAAACACCGTACGATTTCACTCATCTGCAGTATGTAACGAACAAGCTGAACTAACAAGCAAAATAAAGACACACTCATAGAAAGAAAGCAGGACAACAGCTGACGGGTAGAGAGGTCACAGGGTGGGAGGACTGAGAAAAAAAGAAAAAGGACTCATGGACATGGACAGCACTGTGCTGGCTGTGAGGGGGAGAGAGGTGGGTGGATGGGGAAGAAGGTATAATGGGGATAAATGGTAATGGAAAAAACAGAATAAAAAACTAAATAATTTTTAAAAAGAAAAGGGGGAGAGAAAGACAGATCAAGGTAAGGGTGTGTTTTCTTTGCAATTCAACATGCACTAACTCGGTCATTTACTAATGAAAGGGGCTATAAAACCGTGGAGGTGTGAGGGCTTAAAAGCACGTGACAAAGTATGAACTTATTTCTTCACATTTGAGCCTAAATTTAGATTCAAACTCCAATAGGATATTTACACATCTGTGAATGAAGAGGGAATATTTTCTTCCACCCACTTCAAGTCTTCATCCTGTGGAAATATTTACATATTAATAAATATTTACACATTAATATTTATATATTATATAGATATTTGCATGTTGCTTAATATTACTTGAAAATGGAATTTTTAAATAGAATATATATAAAATTTAAGTATTTAAAATCAAATGCATGCCATTCTTTTAATTTCTATATATCCTAAGAAATTGTCACTCATGCCACAAAGAAATTATACCAGTATTTTCTTAAAGAGGCAAACAAACAAAAATTTGAATTTTTAATTTTTGTATTCTTGGTTTTAGTGAGATGCACAGTTGGTTTTGTCCTAGAAACAAAACAAAACAAAACATAAAAATACAAAGAATAGACCTATACAATAGAAAAATGCAAGAATATTGATTTGCATTGATTTTTTGCTCTCTGCATTCAGTCTGATACTCACATAAATTTCTGAATTATTAAAGACAATTAAATATGTACATTACTCACAAAGTTATCAGAAGTAGCAGGTTTAGCTGTTCCATTGGAAACAGTTTTGGAGGTTCTTAATTTTATTCCTTCAGCTATAATAAGAAATATTATAAAGATACATATATTAAAATTACAAAATATTTTCCTTCATGGCCTCATATTTAATAACTCCACAGGAGTAATATTATATATGTTTTTAAAGGAAGTGTTAATAGTATTTCTATTTGGTTCTCCTTCCTTCTCCTCGTTCTGGTCCTTCTCTTTTTTTTTAAAGTTTCCATGTTTCCTGAAATTTACCTTGTCTTCACCAATCTATCCCTGTTGAGTCTTTAATACATTTGTAATGCTTATTTTAAAGTTCCTTCCTTCTAAGTGTAATGTCTGTGCCACTTCCAGCTCCCTGCTGACTGGATGTTCCACTAACTACGGGTCACAGTGTCTGGTTCCATCCCCGTCTGTTACTTTGCCACTGCGCGCTGGGCACTGACAGTGGCGTCACACAGGTTCTGGGTTCTCTCACCTTCCTCTGGGAAGTGTTGTGTTGTGTCCTAGCAGGCATTCAAATAACTGATTAGAGTATTAAGGTAAAATTAATAAAATGATAAAATGCTTTGTAGGAATTAATAGAAAGATGAAATTAGCACCAAAAACATAGTAAGAAATGCTTTGGGTATGACCAGGAATTACAGATGTGCCTAATTTTAAAGAGCAAGAAGAGGTGACTGAAAGAAACTGAGTAATCACCAAGAAGATGAATATATACCAAACCATGCTTGTGAAAAGCAGTGTGCCTACCTCAATACTCAGAGCAAACCAGTAACAAAAAGCTCAAACTACATTAATCATCTTGAAAATTTCATTACTGACTTCTCTTCTTACAAGTATCTAGCATACATATAATAGTTTAAAAATATATATGTACCGCCCTGGCTGTCGTAGCTCAGTGGATTGAGTGCGGGCTGCGAACCAAAGTGTCGCAGTTCGATTCCTAGTCAGGGTACATGCCTGGGTTGCAGGCCATGACCCCCAGCAACCGCACATTGATGTTTCTCTCTCTCTCTCTTTCTCCCTCCCTTCCCTCTCTGAAAATAAATAAATAAAATCTTTAAAAAAAATAAAATAAAAATATATATGTTATAAGAAAAAAAGTATCTGACCTTGAGCATCACAGGTAAAGGTACAATAATTCTTTGTTATAATATATACATGGTCATTCAATAAGAAACACATCACTCACTTAAATTTTCCGATGTTACCGTAAATTCTTCAACTTCATCATCAGAATCATCTATTAAGGGCATGAAGGCATACCTATGTCATAAACAAGAAGTTGTTTTACTAGTGTGTTTAAGGTTGTTCAACCTTCAGTTTATGGCTAAAAGGGTTATTGCACACAAGCAAATCTAAAACTTTGAGTTTTTTCATAAATTAAAATAAAAATTTAATTATTTTACGCTCAAATAGAAAGGTTATTGTGAAGAATGGTGAACCTAAGCATCCGTAGCCCCGCTGGTAAGAGCAGAAATGAGAGGGATCAATCTGGAGAGCAGTTCTGCAACACATCCTGTTCAGGGAGGGGCCTGCCTGCCTGCGGTGCTCCTCCCCACCTCGGGTCTGCCTCCCTCCCTACACCTTTTAACTCATGCCCTAACAAAAGGGAAACTGCTAATCTGATAGGTGAGAATAAAGCACATGATTGAGCCACACTTACTAGGTCCAAGAGCACTCAGAAAGCATTGCTGATAGTAATAGCAGAAAAAAAAACCCCTAGAAACAAAGTGTCTAGTATTCAGGAACTGCTTAATAAATTATGCTACATTCATAACCTGGAATGCCATATAGCCATTAAGCCCTGGCCAGGTGGTTCAGTTGGTAGAAGTGCTGTCCCATACACCAAAAAGGCTGTGGGTTTGATCCCTAGTCTGGGTGTGTACAGGAGGCAACCAATTGATGTTTCTCTCTCACATCTATGTTTCTTTATCTCTCCCCTCCGACCTTTCCTCTCTCTCTGAAGTCAATAAACATATCCTCAGGTGAGATTTAAAGAAAAAAAGAAAAAAGTAATGTGGAAGATCTACATGGGATGATGTGGGTACATTCCAAAAAGGTGCAGAGTAGTGCATACATGTATGTGTGCATGTACTACTGTTATTATTGTATGACTGGTACATATTTGTACATTTTCCCCTCATAGTGCTTTTCTTGGGGAATAGGAATGAGGCGAGGGAAGGTGGGGTTCCCCATCACATGTGGTCTAAAGCACAATCTTCTGAACTTAGCATTCAAACTCTTCTTGATTATGGTCCCACCTTCCTTTGCAGTTTTACCTCTTTCCAGTGTAAGCATCATTAACCACACTGCATGCCTTGATGACCTCCAAAGCAGACCTCATTTCCCTACTACTCCAGAAGTGTACTTACACTCTTCCCCAGCCCTGTCTCTTACTGCCCTGCCCCTTTCCTTAAGGCGAAACATAAATGCTGCCTTTTGGAGTCTTCCTTACCCCACCTCTGTGTGCCCCCTGGACTCACTTTACACATTTCTGATTTCACCATCTTGCATCTGTTCTGTGTGCCTCCCTGCTGGACTATATACTCCCAGCAAGCATGGACTACTTCCCCACAGTCTCTATAAACATGGTGTTAAGTGTAGCAGGTGATCAACAAATGCTTGCCAAACTTGACTTTTCCTATGTTAGGTACCTTTGATTATTTGCTGATGGTCTCCACAAAAACATTATTACAATAAGGATAAGTGAAAAAAGGAAGCTCCAAAATGCACCATCAACCCAACTTTCCATCCAGTCCTATAAGGACAATTCAAACATGAAAAGTTAACTTTCTGATAAACATAAATACACAGATTTCTAATTCAAATAGTGTACAATCACAAGCACTAATGAAATTGTCCAATCAATTAAGTCTATATACATTTTTAAATGAAACATAAAAACTAAGAAATGTTATCTTTCTAAAATCAACATCAATTCGTGCTTCAGCTTCATAGCCAATCAGATGAATAAAATCCTAACATAAATTATATAGTATAGTATCATGAAAAGAGTAAGAGCTTAAAGGTACTTCAGAGATCATTTAATGTGTTTTCTATATGGGAACAGACACGGGACAGGTTAACAGCACAATGAGAATCAGGATGAGAACGGGTGCATAGTCCCCTCTCAGCTGCGCTTCTGCTTTCTATGGTTTTCATTACCTGTGGTCAATTGCAATCCGAAAAAAATAAAGTCCAGAAATAAACAATTCAAAAGAAATTTTAAGAGAAGATCATGTTCACATTACATATATTATAATTGTCCTATTTTATTACTAGTTATTGTTGTTAATCTCTTACTGTGCCTGATTTATAAATTAAACTTTATCACAGGTGTATATGTAGAGAAGAAAACATAGTGTATACAGAGGGTTTGGTACTATCCAGTTTCAGGTGTCCACTGGGGGGTCTTGGGATGTGTCCCCCACGGATAAAGAGGGCCTGCTGTATTTTTGACATTAGTCTCTCTGATGGAAAAATATCAATGCAGTATTTTTCCCAGTAGGTTGTTCTGCTTTTAGTGAGACAAGAAATTTTATCATATATGCTTGAAATGTTTCTAAAGGGCTGTTTAACATTATAAACATTCCCTTCCATAAACAGTTCGGGTTAACAGAAAGATCTAGAAAACAAAAATAAAAATCCAAAAGATATCCTTAGAACTCCAAGAGAAAAATACTGAGGTGAGGGAAGGAGAAAAAAGGAATTCTAAAAAGTCAGTCTCTTATCTCATTAACTCATCCCTAGGATAGCAGAGGTCCAGGACCCTCAGAGGGCTGTTTATAGCTGTTCATATGGAAGTGGAGACAAGCTCCTAATCAAGATGCCCTGAAAAGAGGGCCTTTTAGAGTTTTAGGCTAAGAAACAGATCTTCTTCTAACTTGAGAATTTGTGGCTTACAGTCCCATTAGATATAGAACAGTCCAAATTCATGGTTTGCAGGAAGAAAAGGATTTCCTGTTACCTTAAAATATACAGTAGAGAATCATCTTTCAACATCTACTTTGGAAGGTGAGAAAAGAGCATAGCTGGAAAAGCAGATTTAGGAGAAACTTTGCAGATTCATAGAAGGGGCAACAACAGTTTTTATAATTCTACATAAAATAATTCAAGGTAAACAGAAAATCTCCTCTAGAAGTACTTTAATTTACAAAGACAAACTAAATTCTTAAAAATGACACAAAACAAAATAGTATAATTAAAAACAAAAACCGTTTAAATAGATTATACTTACTGATCGACATTTTGCAAATCTAAATGTTTTAGTTGTCCACACCATAAACACTACAGAAGCTGAAACACACCAAAAAAGTCACATATGAAGGAAAAGAAAAGTCATCCTGAAATAATTTACTATAATAAGAAAAGTTCGATACTTACCCAGAACTGCAAAGATCAGAGTATTTGTAAAGTGCCTATACAAAGAAAATTTCACCATGTTCTTCCTTAGCCTCAGAGTCTTCATAGTTTGTGCTAAACTTATAAAAATGTGAAAAGGTTAAGGAAAAACATTTTAAATAGTAATAAACAGTTAAAATCAAAATCAAAATAAGAATCTTCTACATTTCCAAAACTGGTATCACTAAATATAGTTCCATTAACTTAACAGTAATAAAAACACAGAAAATGTCACCTGAGCCAATACTATATAATCATGATACTGATTTATTGCAATTTTGCTTTACTGTCTACTGCTGTCTGACCAGATAAACTCAGAGGAAAACACACGCAAGAAGCCCCACGAAGCCCCGCTCTTCCACGCGGAGCCCCTAGACCACAGGACAGAGCCACACAACCTGCCTGCCCCTCCAGCGAGGTTCTCTGATTTCCCACAGGGCTTGGGCTTTTCTGTCTCTTTCTTTTGTTTTCTTCTCGTCTATTCTATCTTTTCATGCCCATAATTAAGAAATCGGAACACCTATCAATTCCCTTTTATCAATTAAAATGGAAATATGTCAAATAAAACAAATCTGAACTTAGAAAAGGAGAGACTTCATTCAAGAGATGATTGCAAAAGGGAGAATGTTTGAACTGTAAGATCTTTAGAAGTGAAGTCCCAACCATCACACAGGAAAGGGCTTTTACAGGGAGAGGAAACAGGACTAGAAAGCTTAGGTGCGGGGAAGTGGGTGGCGTGAAGGACAATCAGTCAGGGAGTGACTTTCCTGAGATCTGCAGACTCTCGCAGGGCCTTTCCAGAGGGCTTGGGTAAACAAGAGCTCAGGAACCTGAGGGAAGGAGACAGCTCAGTTTGGTCCAGATTGGTCACTGGGTACATAGGTCTGAGCCTGGCCTTGTCACAGGTAAACCAGGGGCCTTGGGGAGTCTCACTAAGTCCTACAGAAGAAGGAGGTTCTTTGTAGTACGTTTTTTCCCAGAAGGCAAAAGGGTGGGGTCTTTCCTCACCACAGTGGTTCTCCAGGAGCACAGGCTCTGGTGAAGTTCGCTACTGTCAGGTACGAAGAAGTCAGAAGGGACTTCTTCACAGGCTCCTCAATAGCAAGCCTGGGCCGGAGCCAGAGCTCCGTCTGTCAGTGGGAGTTGCTCCTGGTGCACAGCACCAAGCTTTGATCATGAACCACACACAGAAATTACAGAGCACAGCAAAAGAATGCAAGGGGAAAATTTCCCATTTATGCCTCCTATTTGAAATTCCACATACTAGTCAAAAACTTCTCAGTACCTAAACCTACCAAAACTGCTTTTCAACTTTTCTGAATGAGCAAAATGCTGCAAAAGATCAATGTCTAAAATAACACAATCCAACCAATTATGGCTACTGTCAGAATTTACAAAAATGCAAATGTGCTATACATTCCTTAAACATTACCAAGACAAATACTTTTTAGAAATTCTTGATGAAAACCAATTTTCTATGTTAAAAATCTGGTGCCACTTTAAAATTCAGAAGTGCCCTGACTGGTGTGGCTCAGTGGATTGAGTGCCAGCCTGCAAACCGAAAGGTCGCCAGTTTGATTCCCAGTCACGGCACGTGCCTGGCTTGCGGGCCAGGTCCCCAGGCCCATAAGAAGCAACCAGTTGATGTGTCTTTCCCTCTCTTCCTCCCTTCCCCATTCTCTAAAAAATGTAAAATCTAAAAAAAAATATTAAAAAGTAAATAAAATTCAAAAGTGTTTTTAAAAGCCAAGGAATAAAAAGATCAAAAGCAAATTCAGAACTGCCTAAGCCTGCACTTACCAAGACACTGCTAATGCAGGGAAAGCTTAAACCATCTCTCACATTAGAGGGAAGTGGTTAGGAAAGCAGATGGCCCATCATCCTGAGTGAGCGTCCACAGGCCCCCGCTGCCGTACGAAAGGATATCCACCAGCACAAGCCAGAGTCAAGAAGAGACAGAGGGAGGCTGGCCAGAAGCACAAGATCAGAGTCATTTGCCTGCAGCAAAACAGCGAAAAAAATAAAGCAAGCAAAAAAAAGGAAGGGGGTTCATGAGAAAGGCTGTGCTTTGAACTTTTTAGGCTATTTCTGTTATCACTTTAGAAGTAGATTTGTACAGGATTAGCCTCAGTTAAGCTCACCAAAAGCAAAGGAAGCAAGGGTCCTTATGAGAGCTCTCACTTCTCTAAGGAGTCCTGCTTCTCTGCTTATCATTCGTGTCATTTAGGAAACCCACTCTCTTGTACAGACAGAGAAAGCAATTTTCAGTGCAGTAATGAAAATTACCAAACAGCAATCTAAAAGCAAGCACCAGGAATTCAGTTTTAAGCAGAAATAGATACTAAATTTCCTTCTCTCACCATGAAACACTAATGAAAATAATTTTAATTTCTGGATTTCTTCGTGACTTTTATCCCAAACATCTTTATTAAAAATATTAATAATTAGCCCTGGTTGGTGTAGCTCAATGGGTTGAGCATGGGCCTGTCAACCAGAGGGTCACCGGTTTGATTCCCCAGTCAGGGCACTTGCCTGGGTTGTGGGCAGGGTCCCCAGTTGGGGGCATGTGAGAGACAACCACACATTGTTGTTTCTCTCCCTCTCTTTCTCCTTCCTTTCCCCTCTCTCTAGAAATAAATAAGTAAAATCTTTAAAAATATATTAATAATCAATTCCATTTCTGGGATTATACCCTAAGAATCCTGAAACACCAATTCAAAAGAACCTATGCACCCCAATGTTCATAGCAGCATTATTTATAATAGCCAAGAGCTGGAAACAGCCTAAGTCCCCATCAGTAAATGAGTGGATCAAAAAACTATGGCACATTTATACAATGGCATACTATGCAGCAGAAAGAAAGGAGCTCCAGATGAAACTGGAGAGCATTATGCTAAGTGAAATAAGCCAGGCAAGAAAAGACAAATAGCATATGATCTCACCATTAAGTGGAAACTAATCAACAAAATAAACAAGCAAGCAAAACAGAACTAGAGATATGGAAATAAAGAACAGAGGGGAGGAGAGAGGGGAGTAACAGAGGGAAGGTAAGGGTTGTCAGGAACACGTATAAAGGACCCATGGACAAAGATAATGGGGGAGGGGAGAGGGCTGAAGACGGGAGGTGGGGGTGAGTAAGGCAGGGGAGAGTAATGGGGTGGAAATAGGGACAACTATAATTGAACAATAAAAAATTTTTAAAAATATATTAATAATCAACCCTGACAGATGTGGCTCAGTTGGCTGGGCATCATCTCCCAAGGTGAATGTTGCAAGTTCAATTCCCACTCAGGGCACATGCCTGGGCTGTGGGTTCAGTTCCACTGAGGCACGTGTGGGAAGCAACTGATGACGTTTCTCTCCCTCTTTTTCTCCCTCCCTTCCCCTCTCTCTAAAACTAAATAAGTACAATCTTTAAAAATGTTAAGAGTTGATATTGTTCCTTACTAATCTTTCACCTTGTTTTCCTTAACTTCCCACCCCAACCTGGCTCCTTCTGTGTTGGAACAGACAGAAGCCAATGCTGTCCATAAAGGAGAGAAATTACCCTCATTCGAATCCAGATGTAGCCAGAGCATCCGAGCTGCAGTCCTGCCCGCCTCCCAGGGCCGGGGAGCATCCCCTGCCGTGACGCACCTCTCAGAACAGGACCTGCGGCCCTTGGCCGGAACGTGGTTCATGTGTAGAACCAGGGATGGACTTCACCTTTTTAACAATCAAACGTCTTCAAATGTGTTTTAATGCAGAAAATATGAAAATTACTATGGTATTGTGTTTATAGCACTCTCAGAGAAGATCAGATTTATCTAATTTTATTCAATAAACTTGGATTCTAAACTAGTAGCTCTGGACAGAAGTAGAATGTGATTTTCATTCAAGTTTGGTCAGAAACAACTCTTTAAATCAAGTATTATGTCTTAGCTGGACACCCCTAGACACGAGGGGATCCACGAATATCTTCTGGGAGGTTTTTAAACGCCCCACTGCAGGCAAACACCTATGTGGGTGGGGAGCACGTCCACGGTCTGTGCAGAGAGGCTCTGGGCTTCCTTACACTTTCTAAGGTGTGTCTGATCCCAGGACCCAAGCAAGGCTGAGGACCACTGCTTTAGAGAATAAGGGTAACAAATTTAAAGGTTTCGTTTTGCTGTCACTTGGAAGCAAACTGAGAACCCACAAAGAGACGTTAAAGAACAGGTAGACCTGGCTTAGGGAAAACCGCCTACGAGGCCCTCAGAAAAGCCTTAGCGCCACGTTTGCTAGTGCAGCTGCTTCCTTGTAGAGAAAGGACACAGGCAAGTAGAGTCAATTCCCCTCGCCCTTCCCCTGAGGGACAGAGATGAGAAAATGAAAAAAAGTGCAAGGAACGCAAAAGAACATGCAATGTTCAAAGCTAAAATGCAAGTAGCAAAGACAATGGAAACAAAAACCTTGGTAAAAATAAAACCTGCCCTGACTGGTGTGACTCAGTGGACTGAACACAGGCCTTCAAACTGAAGAGTTGCCGGTTCAGTTCCCGGTTGGGGCACATGCCGGCCGGGGTTGCGAGCCAGGGGGCCATGCGAGAGCCAACCAATCAAGGTTTCCCTTACATACTGATATTTCTCTCCCACCCTTCCTGTCTCTCTAAAAAATTAAATAAGTAAAATCTTTACAAAAAGTAAACATAAAACCCATCTATAGGAAAGTTTCCGAGAGAACATAAATGTAGAAGAAATAAATGAAAATACTATTCTGGGATCTGCAAGACCCTACTTTCTGCTCTCACCAGGTCATAGAGTCTCTAGAATTCCTCCCATTTCCATGAGAGGCCCCAACAGGCAGAAATACACATTGGGGATCCCCAGGCTCAAATGAGTCCCGAATTAGTAAGGGGTCCTCAAGGATCAGCCCACACTGCCCTAGAACTTCTGCTGTACTATGATTTCTGCCCTCACCTTCGCCAGACCTGCTCTCCCACTGCCCCATTGCCACCTCTTCAATGACGGAAGCTGGTGTGCCTTGGGAATTCCTCTGTGGCACTGGCCACTGCTGACCACTCCTCCTTACTGAAGCTCTCCCCGCCCCCACTCTGTGACAATTCCTGGTTCTCCCACCTCCCTTCACCCTGGTGCACCTTCCATGAACGATCTGCCCACCCGGCCACCCGGCTCCTCTCCTCTCACTGGTCTACATGTTCTCCTTGGGCCACTACCATGGCCGCATCTTCTCCCGTACAAAGATGATCTCTAACCTGCGCCACCAGTTCTGACTCTTCCTCACACTAATTCGCCAGCAGCACAAATCTCATCCATTCCGGTCCCTTCTCCAAGATCACCACCTTGATAATAGCAGCGCTGCCTCCAGCCGCCCAAATAAGGCCCGTGAGACTTCTCTGGAGACTTTTCTCCTTCTTCTGCCACAGTTTCTAGCAAGTCTGTCACACGGAATTTTTTCTTCACTTCCTCTGCAATATTTCTAACCCTCACCATGTCTTCCTCGGACCACGGTAGATGACTTCTTACTAGACTTTCTGTATGTAATCTCTCCTTTTCCAAGCCATCTCTTTATGTCATCGCTGAATTCTTTCTCACAGAGATCCTGTGTTTTTCACCTGTGCAGCTTCAACTCCCTCTACTTCCTACCTTCAGAGGAAACTCTTAAACCCTTGAGCAAGTTGCTCTATCCTTCCCTCCGGCCCCACCTTCCTCGACTCTCCACACACGCTCCCCTACAGGCTGCTAGTCTGGGACATTCTACCACTGTCCCTGTATTTCACGCCTAACCAGAAGGCTTCTTCCCTGATTCTCAGTTCTCTTCCTTCTAGACCCCTATTTGTCCTCCCAGTCTCGATTTAAATGTCACCATCTCTATGAAGTCTTTCCTCATTTCACATCAGAATTATCTTTTCTCTTTCCTCTGCCTGCAAAACAACCCGCTAAAATGGAGATAACTATTTCCATGTTCCTTCTAGTTACGTGTTTGTCTCTTCTACCAGACTATGAATTCCTTAAATGCGGAGACTGTATCTTTTTCTTCCAAGCCTCCTCAGCACTGGGCACATAGTAAGTACTTAAGTTTGCTGAACTAAATAGAAAGAAACAAACATATTCTTTATTTGGGGAGTTGTTACTTTTTCACCTTCAACTAAAATTCCTGTGTTGAGGTAATAATAATGCAAAACTGTATTTCTTTCTATTATTATTACAAATAAAAGTAATATGATTTTAGTGCCATAATAAACTATTTTAGAAGGACACTGTAAAGGATATGAACCATACAAAAATGGAGTCAATAACTGCTAAAATAATGTCACCAAAAAGAACAGCTAAATGGTTAGAACCCTGAAAGATAAAAATGGGAAAAAATGCCGACAGTTTCATTATATTACAGGAATTATCTGATGAAGAAAAACAATTAAGGTCACAGCATCGCTTTACAAAGGCCATATAAAATACCTTTACTTACTCACAGAACTGTTTTTAGCACATAAAAATGATCTGTTTTGTCAACAACTTGTTTGGGGACAAGGTCAAAATGAATTCTGGAATGGCAGGTAACAAGCACCACGACCCAGCCCCACCAGGGCAACTGTGTGCACCTCTCCTCTCCACACCAGACCTACAGCCACAGATACTAGTGACTTGGACCCTCCTCTTTCCTACTGCATGCAAAGGATGTGGAAAAAGTAAAACAAGGAAAAGTAACTGAGTGGAAGGGAAAAACAAACTATAGGTTATTAGCCACTTATTTAAGAGCTGACAGAGAAGTGTATGTAAAACATTTATCTACAATGCTATGTAAAATTTTAAGGAAATACAATGTATACACTATATCTTACGTGTGAAATATTTATCTTTTCTGTTTTTTTCTGTAGATATTAGTTTCCTGTGAGTGACATGAAAATGCAGAGTTTTTCATTATTACGTAAAGATAAATACCGTATTTTGCTTTGTATAATGTGAACCCACATTTTCGGCCCAAACTTTAGGAAAAAAATCTTTCATTTTAATTTTTTTAATTCAATTTTTAATTTATTTATATTTAGATACTAGTTTTTTGTGTGTTATAAGGACTGTTAGCATTGAACATATGGTACAACAAATTTTATGTGACAGATAATTCCAAAACACAAAAACAGATATAAGGTACAAGAAATGTTATGTACTGGTGACAAATTTACGATATTTATGCATCATAGAAGGCCAAGAACTCTTCATCACTGTCCATATCAGAAGTATTGTCTTCTTCAATTTCTACATCATCAGTGTCTTCGGAAGAGTCACTTTCCTCATCCCGGTAAACTTCCTCAGTTCCCTTCGCAGCATTAGCAGATGCTGCATTTTTTAAACGATTTCACAACCACTTCCTTCTTGACACAGCTCCACAATCTTGAGATCTAATAACAAACATGGGTGACAAGATGCTTTCTTTACCCTGCCTGTAGGCATCAAATCATTACCAGCTGACGGCATCCAGGACGTCCACTCTTTCTTCATTAGGGCCTTAAAGGGCTCGTTTTCTGACACATCAAGGGGTTGCAGTTGGCTCGTTAGCCCAACAGGTATCACTGCAAGTTGGGTTTTCAAGTCTGCTGAGATTGTTTTGCACTTTCTGTAACATGGCTTTGAAGTGATCAAAAATAAACAAAGCTGGTTTTTCAAGTTAATTCTCCAGGCCTTTGTGACCAGGTTTTATTAACTAAGATTTTCACGCCTTCTTCATTCATCCATCCTTTTTCATGCACATGGACAATAACTCCACTTGGAGAATTTTCTTTTGGAAATGTTTTTCTTTTAAAGATGATCATAGGTGGCAGCTTTGTCCCATCTGCACGACAGGCTAGAACAACAGTGAAATGTTTTTTCTCCTGACCACTTGTTTTAACAGCCACGGCCTTAGTTCATTTGATGTCCACAGTTCTGCTGGCTTGCACATCAAATGTGAGTGGGACCTCATCCGTACTGGTGATCTGGGACAGCTCAAAGTTGTGAGTCTTTCGAAAGTTGGTCACATAAGAATGAAAGTTGATTCTAAACATTTCTAAAGTTGATTCTCATAGGCTGCTGGAAGTTTGGGGTAAGTTTCATTTGTGTCCTCGTGTTCAAACCTCTCTTCATAAAGTTAAAGCACCACGTAGGTGTCCCTGAGAGTCATCAATGTTTTTTCTCGTGCAATCCTTTTACCTTCTTCTTGTATCATGTTGGTCAAAACAGAGATCCCAGTTTGACGCTGCTCCCGAATCCTGGTCTTTGCCTTCTGCCCCACCTCCGGCCACTTCAGAGGCTTCCCTCTCGTTGCCTTCTTCTGTCCTGGCATCTGAAGGAGCTTTTCTTCCTGCTGCTCACAGTCTGATGACGCTCCCTGTGGGAGGAGGCCCGGTGCATCTCTCGGCAGCCCTGCTGCCATGCTTTTTAGCATACTAATACCTTTTAGCCTAAGGCTTACCGTGTATGAAAACTGTTTTGACATTTTCCAAGGGATTTTCCAATAATTTCTCCCACCTAAAGTGCATGAAGAGAAAAGCTGCACTGTTCACCCTATGGTAATAATGTCGCCATCACCTATCTCATCAAGTGGGTGACAATTGGCATTGTCTGTCTTACTCAGGATAACAATACATTGCTCTTTGTTTCATTTCTTTGACTCACTGGCCACAACTGCTTTCACTGCAAGTTGGTCACGAGTTCACCAAAACCGATTATTGCATTCCAGGGTATTATTTTGCATACAGATATTGTTATTGCTTTCTAGAGTTACACTTCCAATGCATAAGCATAAATTAAAGAATTAAAAATATTTATATACATATGGAATTAGTACTACCCATGTATAATGTGAAACCTTACTTTTCCCTCAAAAATTTGAGCATAAGTACACATTATACATGGCAAAATACGGTACCCCTTTCAAGAGTCAAAGACTTAAACAGCAGGTGCATCCAGCACAGAATGTAGGTGTAGTGAGACAACAGGAAGAAGAATGAGGCTTTCTAACACTATGCAACAAGTGTCCTGCTTCAGGGGACAGAGCAGACATGTGATGTGACCTCACAGGCAATATACAGATGAACCGCTCTGCGCAGTCATCTGATTTATAGATCTAAGCCATGACACTGTAGGCAAAAGTTACAATGTTCTTTAAACCAAGTAAAAAATAGTAAGTTCTTATACTATGAACATCTCTGAGGTGCAGCCAGGTCTGGGGCTGTTGGGAAGTGCTTCCTTCACAGTCAACCACATCACCTTAGGAAGTGCTCTGCCTTGCCTTTTACTTTCTGAAAGTATTAAGAATAAAAATATTCCATAGGAAATAAAGCTCAAATTGAGCCTTCTGTATCAATTTCCTGCCTTTAAAAATTCATCTTAGGAGATATTTGTTATCAACAACATAAGGGGTGGTGGTGGAATTATGCAGTTTTTACCCCAATGACTCTCATCACGCCTTCGACCACCGCGAAGATAAAGTAGAGAAGCCCCAGTCCGATCACCCGGTGCATGACTGTCCCTAAGCGCGGCCTGGAAGTGGGAAGAGAAAGCAGGAAACAAGAAAAAAAAAAGGCACAGTAAATCAGATGCATCTGAATAGTCACTGGCTCCATGTCCAACACCAGGGAGGCCACCACCTAATCAGGTCAGTCTGCTCCCACCCTGAGGTGCTTTATTTTAGGAAACACCACATTTCCTGGGAACCAGGCAGCAACAGGCCCAGAAAATGGGCCTCCTTCTCTGGCGCTGGAAGCAATAGAGGATTTTGCTGCTGAAATGTCAGGATATGATCCACCTTACCACACAGCCCAGGTGCGAGTTCACAGGAGGTAAGAGTAGACCAAAGAAACCCGGGAAGCTAAGGGCCAACTCCCCAGTGTCACTGGCAGAAATAATAATTTAACTCGTTTACTAACATTAATTAAAAAACAATTCTGGGATATGTTTTACTAGCCAGAATCTGCTGATTTATGACTTGGGCAGAGAAAGAGCAGGGATATGAAGAGACCAAATTCAATTACCTTCCTTCTCTCAATACCCCAAACCAGAAGAATTTAGTTTCCATTCTTTAAATTCAAAGGAATCAAAATAACAGTTTGAGTTTTCCAAAATATAAATGAGTGGGGAAAACACAAAGAGGGCAATTAACAATGCGAAAACAAGTGAAATTTCATGACACTTTCAAAGTCCAAATTTATTGCACATACATTTTAGCTCAATAATCCTCTTCTCAGAATTAATTAGAAGAAAATAGTGGTTTTGAAAAAATACTTAAGATTGTCATTTTAAAACAAAAATGTAAGTAAAAATTAAACTAGTATCCATAGCTCGTATTTCAGACCAGTTGCCTAATTCGGTTGATCTGAATTCTGACCCACAGCCTCTAACTGGACCCTCCAACAGCCAGAAGCATTACTGCCCTCCCTCTGGGGGAGCTGAAACCGCAGGCTGCAGTGAAGGGATGTGCTCCCTCCCTCTGGGGGAGCTGAAACCACAGGCCGCAGTGAAGGGATGTGCTCACAAAGGCTGTGCCCTTGCCACTGTACACCCACACCCAGGCACCTGACGTTCATAACTAGAACCGTGAGGTACATGAGATGCCACAAGAGGGGCTTGTGTTCTATATACTGTATCAAACCCCCGACCCCAGAGCAAAGCATTTGAGGAGGAATCTCAATAAAAGCCCAATGAAAATAAGGTCTCCTGGCTAAAATCTTCCTAAATATACCAACCCTGGGCTCACACGCATACATGTGTGCATTTGGTGCTATTTACTGGATGCCTGCTCTATACCAGGGACAGCACGGGGGCATCATGGCACACAGGAACAAAACAGGCAAAACTCCTACTCCACTCATATGGCAGGGGGAGGGCAACAAATACTAATGTATACATGGAGTAGTCTTGTAGAGAGGATGGGGGCTCTGTGCGGAGGGCGTGTACCATGCACCACAGTCGAGTCCTGGCAGGGGTCTCTTCCTGGGGAGATGACAGAGGAGCAGAGCTGACAGAAGTGAGGGGGTACAGCATGCTCAGGTCTGTAGAAGAGGCCTCCACTGCAAGGAAGTGTGTCGTGTTCAAGGAACAGCAACAGCAAGATAGCCAGAGGATGTGGCAGTGTTCAAAATGGAGAAGGTAGTAGAGGAGGTCAGCCATCAGAAAAGCCACAGAAGGAATTTTGGTTTGATTAAGTAAAATGAGCAAGAAAGTAAGGAGATCTGAGTTACATTTCAAAAGGATCACCTTAGCTGCTGCTGTCTGAACAGAATGACAGGAGACAAGGGCAGAGGCAGGGAAACCAGGCAAAGGGCCCCAGGTGTTCACAAGAATCCCTGCTGGATCAAGACTGTATGCTGACGGAAGAGGTGAGCACATGAGAGGGGAGGGCCAGTGGAAGGTGAGGATCAAAAAGCCAAAGGCCGCACCGGGTCCGGGTCCAAGGGCGACTGGAGCTGACAGATCAGAGTAAGTGAACAGGAAAGGGGTGGTGGCAGCTAAAAAGTGAATTGCTTAAAATTGTGATAAACAAGAGGGTGCAACTGTGCAGAGTAATAAAGTCTAGAAAATGGCCTTGTGTCTTATCTGAGGTGAGATAAAGGTGAAGAAAGCAGAGGTGATGAGGCGAGATCAGGTTCAACTGATCCTTCAACTGAAGGATCAACCCCAAGGATCCTGAATGCACAGGGAATGGAGGACCTGCTGAGGAAACAGGGAAGCAAGTGCTGAGGGAGCTAAGGGAGGAGAGGAGAAACCTGGGGCCCCAGTAAGAAGATGGAGCAGGTGGTCCAGCCAGGTGGCCTGAGGTCTAGGAGTCAGAGGGTTTTAGGAAGAAGGAAGAAGAATGGTCTAAAGAGGATAAACTCTTTCATATTCAGGCCCCATGATTCACAGGGGTGAGAGGAAAGACCTGCTCGAGAGAGCTGGGAAGCAGCCAGTGCTTATTCATGGAACTGTATAAAGCTGAGGACCATATCAAATAGTCAGTGTGTGGACACCCCTTCGGAACAGTTCCGCAGATACTTCCCCCGGGTGTTTGTATAATGCTACTGAGAAGCGCCCGCCTCACGGGTACCAGCAGAGAGGGGCGGATCACAGGACTGATGTCCAACATCTTTCCAGCACAGCAGGACTTACTTCACAATGCCGTATCCCAGGCTCATGATGATCACCAGGAGGCGGGCCAGCGTCCTCTTAACTGCAGATATCAACTCCGCAAATATCAACAAACCTTGGGCTGAGGAGAAAGAAAGAAATCCGCTCACTGTGTGTACATCTGGAGTCCTGCCACCAATCCTAAATATGTACCATGTATGACATCTAACCTCAGGCAGATTGGCCATATTTGATTTCAAAGGCATCTAATACAACTGATATTAAAAACCTCAGTTAAAGGGATTCATAACGTGCTAAAGAATTGACTCCATTTGTCTTTTTTTTAATCCTCACCCAAGGATATGTTTATTGCTTTTAGAGAGAGAAGAACGGAGGAAGAGGAGAAGGGGAGGGAGGGAGAGAGAAACGTCAACTGGTTGCCGCCTGTATCTGCCCAACCAGGGATCAAACCCACAATCTAGGTATGTGCCCTAACCAGGAATCGAACCTGGAACCTCTTCGTGTATGGGACAATGCTCCAACCAACTGAGCCACCTGGTCAGGGCCACTCCATATCTCATTAGCTCTATAGGGCACAGCTTTCTTGTATCAGCATAAAATCTGTCTACCTTAACTTCCCTCCATATTCAATCTTTCCCCTTGAGATGACAAAGAACAACATCCCTCTTTTTGTTCTATAAATATCTACCCACAATGTCCCCTAGAGTTCTCTGGATGTCACCATCATTTATTTATTTGTGCTCCTACAGTGTGGCTGTAACAGTAATAGACACATTATGATCCCTGCCTCCTAGAGCCTGTACTCTGGTTAGGACAGGCAACAGGCAACAGATGAAACCCAGCCTGGTAAGTGACAGAGGTAACACAATCTTGCCCCAGACTGTGAAGAAAGCCAACCTACTCCACACGTTGGGAGGTACATGAGGGTCCAGATAACTTTCTCAGTGGCAGTGACATCTAAATCAGGATCTGAAGGCAAAGCAAGAGTGAACTACCTGGGGGGAAGACAGGGGAAAACAGAAATAAATGGCACATGAGGGAGCACGGAGAAGACAAGAAGAAAAGCAAAATGTGCTCCAAGAAGTGGAGGGAGATTCAGCATGTCTGCAGCTGAGCTATAAGCGGAGTGCTTAGAAAAGAGGCTGGGACAGAGAAGGAACAATCACATGGGTTTGCAGGCCACATTCTGAGTCTAGACTTGAAGCTAAGGATTGTGGGTAGTCAAAGACAGTAAAGGGGGTAAAATGGAATCAATAAACCACAGCCCAGGCCCCAATCTGCCCCATACATGTTTCTGTAAATAAAGTTTTATTGGAACACAGCCATGTCCACTTGTTTGCAGCTGCTTTCATGTTACAAGAGCAGAGCTGATCAGCTGCAACAGAGGGTGTGTAGCCTGCAAAGTCTAAAATATTTACTATATGGCAGAAAGAGTTTCCAGACCCTTGAAATAAAACGGATAGCTTTATTTTACTTTGTAAATGCAGGACTGCTGTAGTTAATGGCTTAGACCGGAACTGGACCGCAGGTGAGGAAATGCCTAGGGGCTGTTCCAGAAATCTGGGAAGACAAGAGTGCTGGCAGTGAAGATGGAGAGAATCAGAAAGTACCCAGAAACCAGACATGAATCCACCTCATTACTCTTGTTTCAGCTCATGTTCTCCACCTTGTCTCCACCTTGAAGAGGTACAGACAGACGTACTTTACTCCACTTTCCCATGACCAATCCAGGGCACGAAGTCAACCTAATACACTTTTCATATGCTCCCTTTGGGTCTTAACAATCACCGCTCCCATCCCTTTAAAGTCTCTCCTTCCAGAAACAATACTGAGCAAGAGAGCCTAGGTGACAAATTCCCATCGGGGAAAATCACACATTAGCCCCTGCCTAGTGTCCTGGCACCTCTCCTCTTCCATGGGACTCCTCAGACACTGGTAGCAGTCTGGGGTCTGTCCCCAAGCCCTGCTGGGGTCATCCCAGACCAAGGGCTTGAAGCTCCTGAGGACAGCAGATGGATCACAGGCTTTGGTTGCCCTTGCCAGAGTCCACACCACCCTTGACCCTGTCACGTAAGGGACTGCCTCTAACAGCAGAGGGGCTTAGCTGCCCCTCCAGCATTCATGGGCACTTCAACCCCGGCCACCAGCAGCAGCCTCACCTTGCCTTCCTTATTTGGTTACAGCACAAACACAAAAAAGTCACTAAAACTCCTTGCAGAGTAGTAATACCTCTCATGGGCCTCCCTGGATCCTTGTCCTTTCTTTATTCTTTTGTACGAGTCCTTTCAAATTTTTTATTTGGTAAAATGAAAACATTCCCTAGCACAGAGAAGGTGGTAAATAAAATCCCATGTACCATCACTCGGCTTCAGTAATTATCAGCATTATGCCAGATTTGTTTCATCTGGATCAACTCCCTTTTCTTCCTCTAGAGTATTTTTAAAAATGCCCCAATAGACATAAGCTCACCCTTTGACAATCTGGGCCGAGCTCCTTATAACTAGACCCTCAGAAGCACATTCTTGAGTGCGTTTAGCCCTTCTGGGCTCTCTCCCTTCTGAGGTTAAGTGACTGCATCAACTGACTTCTCTAACTTCTTGACACCTACCTTCTAGAAGCCTGGGCACACAGTGCAGATGCCCAACCACACACCCTCCCTGCTAATCACACATAAATGTCACAGGAGGGCCTGCGTGTGAGAGAAGAGGTGGGACAATGAAAGAAGGCTGCGGGCACCACCCACTGTACTCCCTGTGGGCAAATTTTCTTTTTTGGAGGGGAAAGGAGAAGGGGGTAGGGGAAAAAAACCAGACATCTACTACAAACTGCACCTAAAGCTCCCCATCCAGCCTTTGTGTTGTTTTAACCCAGTTGCAGCAGCTGAACCTTACTTAGTGAACGGAATTTTCTTCTCCACAGGAGGAAAGGGAAGGTCAAGCAAGAAGAAAAATGAACAACGAAGAGGACACACGTGCTGGCCCAGGTCAGAGTTCCACCATGACAGTCTCTTCATGGCCTCCTTCCTCTTCACCCACAGCTTGGCTCAAACCCTGAGGACCCACAGATCACACTGTGTTTATGGAGAAAGTCACAACTTACTTGACAGCCCAGTGCTGTTGATGTTTTGGTATTCAGCATAAAAAACTGCTTTTTCGAGCATTCCCAGGAAAATGACAGCTGCAATCCAGAACTGGATTCTTAATATATCCTTCCAATAACAGGCAGACCACATCAGCCAGAGCACACCATAAAAAATATAGACAATGCACATCACCATGTAAAACTGTAGAGAGAGAAGCAATTTTAATCAGTTAAGTTTTTCTATTACTTGAAAAATCAACATTTGTACATTCAACTATCAATGCTTTATTTTCCAGTGACTCTGAAAATAGAGGGTTATATCAGGGCACTAGCTACTAAGGGATTACCATCACTGAGCTCTTAAAATTTTTAACTTTCCAATTAGGATACAAAATTCACTTTTAGAAAATGATGAAACATACTCACAATCATGAGAGGCCAATCTGAGGCAGAGAGATATCCTTTTGGTCCCATCATAGAGAGAGAAACTGATGAAAGTGAGGGTAGGATAAAGAAAGTAAAGAGTTAAATTTACAATCAGCTTCCTCTTAAGTTTTAAACATAAGCTCATTTCACAGAAGGCTCCAAGAATACAAACCAAGCTAACAAATGCTGAATTTTTACCTAGCACACACAGATACTGCATAGTTACCATTGTTTGATTATACCACCTCATCAAGATACCTAGTACACACTTGGTTATAAAACCTGGGCCAAATCTCACCTCATGAAGAGAGCAGACTTGCACTGGTCACGGTCTGACCCCTGCTGAGTCACCAACCTCCTGAGGACCTTGTCTCCCTTCATGTAATGGGTAAATGACTGACCTCAAGCATCTAATCTGGGTTGTCGTCTAAGTGATAATAAACAGAGTGTCCAGAACAGTGAAAAACTCACTTAGCAACTGTTCCAGTTTCTAACTAGCAGGAGCTCAACCCCGCCTGCTAGTGTTGGAGGGAGGCATACCACGTGGATGGAAGGGGGCAGCAGCGAGGTAGCAGAATGGCATCAAAGTCCCTGCTCCCTCCATGTGACATGGCCTGGCCCACATATCACCTCCAGAAGGAAGCTCTACTTCACATTACTCCAGATTGGCCACCGCCACCAGCTTCCCCCACAAGACACCAGCTCTTTGCCTATCTGCAGTGATGCCTGTTCATCCTACTGCTTTCTGCACCCTTCCCCAGGCTGGGTGCCTCTCAGAGGCGGAGCCTAGTTTCCTCACTGTGTCCCCAGTGGATGGGCCAGAGCAGAATGCAAATCCTCAGAACCCTCACATGCTGTTGGCTACTGTCAGCCCACCAGACGCCTGCTCTGGAAAATGACAGCCAAAGCAATTCCAGGACATGTGAGGCATTTGTTCCCTTGAAGCTGCTTATAGCGAGGATGCTCTTTCCCTGGGCTCTGAGAACCATGGCTTACTGAGCCACAGAGGGGCGACCCTGTTGGGGCTGGGGAGCTCACAGACTCCAGGAGCCACAGTTGCCAGCCATGCCACTTCTACTCCTTAGCTATACACTGATGTTTTAAAAAACTTTATTTATTTTTTATCCTCTTTTTCTTAAATAAGGCCCTTTAATATTTCACACAATAATGGTAAAAAAACCTTAAAGAACAACAATTTTTAAACCCTGATTATGGCCAGTTTCAAGAAACAATATAATCTACCTCATGAACAATTAAGATCTTGCCTGCCCCTTTGCTTTTTTCTAAAATCTGGAAGGATGAAGAATTTTCTATCCAACTATGAAGTTTAAAACTTTTCCATTTAACTTAAGATACCTAAGTATAAAGTTTTAAGTCCCCCAAATATATTCATTTTTGTGATGAACAGAAATGCATTTTTGAGTGATGTGTTTTTAACAGAGAATGGAGATTTGGGTCAAGACAAAAATACAAAATACAGTAAAAGCAGACAAAAAACATGCATGTAGTTTAACTGTACCATTCAAATTCCAGTTTGCATTGGTTTCTTCTGTTTTAAATGAAACGATAAGGAGATGAAACCCATCCCTCTGTGTTCTTGCAACAACATCCTGAGCACGAAAAAAACCCCTTTGTTATTTAATTGCTATATAAGATAGAGATAAATAATTATTTACCACATTTTAAAACAACTTTTAATAAGTAAACTGGGTTATTTTTTAAAAGCACAGATAACACAGAGAAAAGGAAGGGTGGGCAGTGAGAAGACCCTCCCCCTGCCATTTTTTACCATCCTCTTTTCAGACCTGAAGGGATGGAGGAGGAGAAAAGCCTTCTCCACTCTTTAATATTTTCTACTTCTTATATTTCTACAGACTTCCCCCTAATGTTACCATTCTGTGTTTTATTTAATACTGCCATTCAAATAGTTTCTCTTCCCTTATTTTATCCAAATATCATCAAGCATTCAGTTTTCAGTGTGTTTTTTAAACTGAACTGTGGGAGGAAGAAGTCAGATTAACACTGTGAGAAATGACTCATATTCCATACATAGCTAAATTATTTAAACCCTTCAAGGTACTAAGTTACTAGCAGTCCCACTGGTGACTCTAACTGCTGCTGTAATGTCTGTGACCCCTTCAATGACCCACATAACTGGATCAAACTTCTCACATTCCTTCTTGCTGAATATTTCCCCTTTCCCTTTTACTTCACCCTCCCCCACCTGTGCCAGTTTGTGCAGCGTCTGTGCCCCCCGACCCCACTGCAGGAATGCCTTTCTACTCTTGGGCTCTCTTTAAGACAGTGAAAGAAAACAAGAAATGTGAAGGCACAATATAAAAGCAAATATTAAGTTCTCCTAAATCTGTTCACCGTGCCTACACACAGCTCCTTCTAACCCTTTTGGCCTCTAGGTTTTCTGACTTTCAGTAATTCCCCAAAACACCAAATTTTCTCTCCCCTCCATGCTACATTCATGGTTTCTACCTATTTCTTTACATCCTTAATGACGATACATACCAGCCCATTGCTATGCTATCTTCAGCATTTGAAAGCAAATTTTATTTTGTGAAAGAAAAGGCTGCATATGAGTTAACCTTAAATTATAACTTTAAAGAGATTTTTAAACAAAGATGGAAATAAGGCTATACAAAATTCATATAGACATATTTATTATTTTAAATAAAGGTTCTTTTCTCTTTCCTAATTCTAATAACCCTACTTTACATCACTCTCCAAGTGGTCTATCCATTAGCAGATTCTTTTCAGTCTTTCTATAGCTTGTATACATTTGATTCAAAGACAAATAAAATGACTTACCATTGATTCTTCTTGGTTTGAAACATTTCTGATATTTGTAACTAGTTCTTTATTCTGGAAAGAATAAATTCTATTTAATATTACTGCATTTCTATGGGGATAATTTGAACAATTAAGAAAAAATGTGTTATGAAAAAAGTACAAAGGTGAACATCAGAGAACAAATTTCACTGTATCCCAAACATGAGTAACAAAATCCTGCTTCGGAAAAATTACTTCCTTAATCAGGAGAGTGGCTATGGTTGGTGGTGGCGGGGGGCGGGGGCGGGAGGCATGGGATACCAGGAACTAAAAGACAGCTCCAGGTGCTAAAATATTCATCAAGCTACATACTTGTGATATGCACACTTTGTTACATGTTCATTACAATATCATAAATTTTTAAGTAATCCCTTTAAAAATTCTACCAAAGATATATTTTCATTTCAGAATTTATAGAACAGAAAACAAGTTAAAATGACCCATAGGCTCACGACTCAGGAATGATTGCTGGTGACACTTTAGAATCTGACCTTCCACACTGGGAGGGAGCAAGTGCACACAGAAGGAGAGTGCCTTCCCGAGAGCTAAATGCTGACAGCCTGTGCTAAGAGCAGCAGACCACGGAGTGAGCGCCGTGGTCGCTGGTAACCCTGACTCGTGCTGCACTGGCAGAGCAATGGAGCTTAGAGAACAAGTGAGTTGACAGCAGGTCAGTGGAGGGACAGTGAAGGGACACTGCCACAGAGGGGTACAAAGAAATGGAACGATGGTGCCAACACCTTACTCCTTGGGCACTATGACATTCAGAAAGATTTAAGTCTAAAAACTAACAAATTAAGCACCTTAATGAAATGCCTGGTGAAACAGAATTTAAGCTGATATTTGTATACACTGGAAATAAAATAAATTCTGCTTTAACACGGCAAGACAAGGTACTCACGTATAATGAGGGAAACACCTGTAGGTTACTGTTGCAATCTAAGTTTTCATTTTTTGTTGTCCAACATTCGATGTTCTTGAAATAATTACCACAAAAGTCTTCACCAACACTTTCATGTTTTTGTGACAGCTCCTACCCAACGTAAAGTTTTGTTATAATGTATTTCCATACTTATCCAAGAAGATAAATAAAATTTAATATCTAAATAACACCTAAAATTTCTTCAGTTTGGACACTTGAAAATATGTAGAGCAAGGTACAGAAAAAAAGGTTTGAATATAATTTTAAGTAAAATTGAGAAACCATAACATTTTAGTCATTCCAATGTGCTCAGAGACAGTAATACATAATACAACCATAATCTTACAGTAAAAAGTGTTTAAGGTGTTTTGAAGTATACAATACTTTGTCCTGGGGCTACTTCCATCTTATACCAAGTATAAATGACCTTAGAGAGAAAGAAAGCAGCATTTAACAAGGAGGAAAGACAAACCAGATACTTGGCAACATGGAGCAAACGTGCAAACACAACTGAGGGCAGGGGACACATTCGTTCACACATGAGGACCTGGGGTTCTTCCTGCCTATATGCAGGAATAAAACCTAATGGCAACTCCCAGTCACCAAAAAAGGGTAGGTGGGCTTCTACCGGCCAACTATGGGACAACTTGAGCAAAATAAGTAAAAACAGTAATAGACTATAATTCACAATGAAGTAAAAACCAGTTGAGTCCATACTGATGACTGACTGCAAGGTAAGACTGAAGAAAAAAGAGAGAGGATCTCATAGCAGAATGCTAACACATGTAGGAGAAAGCAGATTAGAAAATCACCATGTAGCAAAGATCAGTGTAGAAACTGGAGAAAAATCAAAGGATGTGAAAATAAGAACTTATGAGGAACAGGATACATATTTACATACAAAGTATTTTTTTCCCAAATTACTGTTAATAACAAAGAGAAAAGCAGTCACTTTACAGTGGAGGAAACTGGCAGACACTTCCCCAACCAACTGACCAAACATGGGACAAACCTGAATTCTCTGGTCTGTCTGTCTGCTCAAAATATAACCTGAATCCAATCATGGGGAAACATCGGGAATACTCAAATTTAAGGACATTTTGTAAAACTAAATGGCTTGTACACTTCAAATATATCAATGTCATATCATGAAAGACAAAAACAAAACAAAAAAACAAAAAAACTACAGAAATGCAATGTGATTCTACATTGGTTCCTGTACCAAGAAAAAAAGAAAAGGGGGGGAAAAAAAAACCCCCTGCTAAAAGAGATGTTATTGGGACACTGGCAAAATTTTAATAAGGTCTATTTATTAGGTAATAGTACTGTTATCGATGCTAAATGTCCTGAATTTGACCACTATACTTTGTAATCTAACTGAATATTGTTGTTCCTAGGAAACACATAATATACACTGAAGTATTTAGTGTGAAGGGGTAAAATATTTGGGAATAAAATAAAAAAGGCAGTATTCAATGAAAATGACATTTTTCACCTCAAATGAAAAGATAATAGAAATGAAAGTATGGAAATCCACACATTATTCAAACTAGAAGCCAACAGACCCAGATCAGCTGAAAAGGAACCATGGGGAGCAGCACTGGGAGAAATGCTGGGGTGGAAACACTCGTGCCTGGGAAATACTGCAGGGCCCGGGCAGGACACACCCGGCTGCCCCTCTTCCCCTCTCTCACAGCTCCCCGCCTTCTCCCCACCCCCACCCCAAACTCCCTGATGGGTCCTTCCCTTCCTCACCTCTTTCTGAGACCTGCTCATACTAAATCTATGTATACTTAAGTAAGTTCTAGGTGTTATGTTACTAACTTTTTTAATAAAGTGAAACTTATACTTCTTTCCTAAATTAAGTTTATTTTGGTTTGTATGTGACCCACTGTCCTTTTATCAGTGGTTCCTACATGTCTGACTTAATAAACCTTTACTATCATTTTTTACAAATACAAGGAAACTAAAAGATTTGTATTCTAGCCCTGGTTGGGTAGTTCAGTTGGTTAGGCTGTTGTCCCAATATGTCAAGGTTGTATGTTTGATCTTTGATCAGGGCACACAAGAATCGTGTTGGGAACCGCCCTGCCTGGTTTCAGAAGCTGTAGGCCCCCATGGCTAAGGCTGAGTGAGAGACCTTGGGACCTTAAGCCACTGAGGAGACAAAGCTTGTTTCTGTGGCAGGGGCGCTGACTCTGCCCCCTTTACTTCACCCTGCTTGGCCTCTAGCCTGATCAGTTAGCCAATGACGGGTAAGAATCTTCAAGGGAGGGATGACCTAAGACAGGCATGGTCATGAAGGGGCCCCTAGGGAAGGATTTCGGGGACTATAGAAAAAAAGGGTGATGAATCCTTGCCCCTTGGCTTTGACATAGCCCGAGTCTTCATTCTGTCTGCGAGAAGTCTCCTTATCTCTTGGCTGCCTTACTTACCCTGCCTGACTTAAGTATGAAACAATGATAGAGGGTGGTGCAGCCCTGTGCTGGAAAGGGTGGGTTCTCCAGGCCATTAGACCTAAGAAAGAATGCATAAAATCCTATGAAACCTGCTTTGCTAAGAATGCCCTCAGTTTTTTCAAAAGGGTCTGAGCAGGAAATGAGTTTGTTTCCCAAAGTTTTATAGCCCTTTAGCTAACTGACCCTGACTCAGAATAAGCCCTCATAGTTCTTTGTATATTACCTATTGTTTGATCCTTACTGCCTTACAATGATTGATGAGCTTTACCTGTATTCCTGTATAAATTGAACCCAATAAAAGCCCATTGAGGAAAAGGCTCTTGGCCTTTCTCCTTTGAGAGATCGGCCACCTTTCTTCCCCAAGCACAGCATGTCTTGGTAGACTTATTCTCATCTGCGGAGGACTGGGGGCGGCAGGCAGAGCCCCCCCACAGAATCAACCAATGAACGATAAATAAGTGGAATAACAAATCAATGTTTCTCTCTCTCTCTCTCCCCCCTTCCTCTCTCTTTCTCTAAAATCAATAAAAATTTTTTTAAAAGATTTCTTAAAAAAAAAAAAAAGATTTGTATTCTTCTCAGAAAGCATATACTTTGATAGGATTACAGTACATATTATATAAGACCCAAAATATCTCTGTGGCACTATAATCTATATTTCTAGCCTCCTCACCAGATGAGCTAATAAATTTTTATACTTATAATTTTCCTTCATAGCTTTATATACACACATTAAAAATTTGTGTTAATGAGATATCATCTCACACCTATCAGAATGGCTATCATCAATAAATCAACAAACAACAAGTGTTGGCAAGCCTGTGGAGAAAAGGGAACACTCATGTACTGCTGGTGCAGTTAAATTGGGCAGCCACTGTGGGAAACAGTGTGGAGGTTCCGCAAAAAGTTAATAGGGCTACAGCATGACCCAGCAATTCCTCTTCTGAGTAATTTGTCCAAAAAATATGAAAACACTAATTCATGAATATATATGCACCCTTATGTTCACTGCATCGTTAACCATAATAGCCATGATATGGAAACAACCTAGTGTCTTTCAGTTGAAAGATTTGATGTGGCACATATATACAATGGAACATTAGCCATATAAAAGAATGAAACATTGCCATTTGTGATAACACAGATGAATCTTGACAATATTATGCTAGGTAAAATAAGTAGGACCAAAAACTGCGTGATTTCACTCACACTTGGAATAAGTAAGAAAAAGTAACAAATGAACTAACAAAACAAACAAAAACACACTAAAAAACAACAGTATGGTGGTTATCAGAGGGGAAGGAGGGATGGAGAAGGGCAAATGGGGTAAAGGGGGTCAAATATAAGGTGACAGAAGGAGACTAGACTTTGGGTGATGAACACGCTACAGAGTACACGGATATCAAATTATACTGTTGTATACCTGAAATTTATATAATGTCATTAACCAATATTACCTCAATATACTTTTTTATTTACTTTTAATGTTTTATTGATTTTTAGAGAGAAGAAGGGAGGAAAGTGGGAAGGGGAGGGGAGGGAAAGAAACATCCATTTGTTGTTCTGTTTATTTATGCATTCATTGATTGATTTTTGTGTGTACCCTGATCAGGGATTAAACCTGCAACCTTGGAGAATCAGGATGATGCTCTAACCAACTAAGCCTCCAGGCCAGGGTCTATAAATATAACTTTAAAAAAAACTGTGTTTTACTTACATTCAGCTGAGAATATTCATTTTGACAGGTATAATGCTTCAAATGCCACTCTATGGTAAACTTCACAGGCCCGGAACAATGGAATGACTTAACTGTTTAGGAAAAGAAAGTCTCAATTTTCAATAATAATATACATACTCCAATATAAACTTCAGGTTTCAAGAATGTCATTTAAAATAGGTTACCTCAATAAAAAAGTAAGTAAAACATACTTAATTTCTCTAAAAGTCACTGAAAAATGAGACAGGTAAATTCATCAAATTTAAATAGAATCAGTTAACCAAAAGTTGCTATACTACTATTGCATCTATATGTAAAGTCCAATGTCAAAAATCAACCGAGTGGCCAGACATGTTGACACTGCTTACCTCAGCCTAAAAGGTTCTCTTCACTGACTTACTCATTCAAAACATACTGAGCAAGCACCCCTTGTGCCAAGAAGGGACATAATGGGAATCTAGAACAGTCTCTGTCCTTTACATAAGAGGTATCAGGGGAACGGAGGGTTAACAATGAACAGGCCCCAGCATAAAGAATGGGGTGCTGCCAGGCTTGCTGGAGGAGGAGGCCTATAACTGAAGAAGGAGCAGGAGTTAGCAGGTGAGGAGGAGGGCGGAAGAGGACATGCGAATGCTCAGGGTAAGTGAGTGCCTGGCATGAGTACACCTGTCTGAAAACAGCGTGCTATGCTTAGAACACAGAGAAGGAGAGCTGGAGAAAAATTCATAAGGGTTATTATGCTCTGCTGGGGAGTTTTCCTTTTTTCTGAGTATTACAAAGGACCACCAAATGTTTCAGGTAGGAGAATAACAACACTACACAGACTGAAGAGAATTAAGTCTAGAATAAGACAAAACTCTTTTGAAAGTGCTGTTACAACATGGCAGCAAGTCATCAGAGAGAGGGCAAAGAAGCCACAGCATCTTTTATGACCTAGCATCTTAAGTGACATAGCACTACTTCTGCCATATTCCACCGGTCAGACCAACCTTGATATTATAACGCAGAGGACCACACGAAGTCATGAATACTAGGAGGCAGGGGCCATTGTGAGCCATTATGAAGGTAACCAAAGGGAACTCAAACTGAGACCAGAAACTGACTTCCAGGGGCTGTGACTGGTAGAATGTCAAAGGCACAGCACCCAAGAGTTGGGAGCTACATGGAGAAAAAGTAAATGAACTCTGCACAGATAGCCCGTTGAATGTCTGGCTGCATAGGAGCCTGCCCACGCACAGGGAGAAGCCCAACAATTCTGAGTAGTTCAGAGGCCTCACTGAATACATCAAGCCCTGGGGAGAGACACGGAAGGGTCACACCTGACAGGGTGCTAAGTCAGCCCTGGAATAAAGGCTGCTCCAGATTCATCCTAAAAGAATTTAAAATATAATTGGAAAGGATCTGATAGCATGTTAGATGACCTTTATCAGACTGAGGAAGTTTTTCTAGTTTTTTTGAAAGTTTTTATCATGAATGAGTATTAAGTTTTTCCTAATACTTTTCTATATATATATATAGAGAGAGAGAGAGAGAGAGAGTGATTATATAACATATTTTATTGTTAATATAATTACATTGAGAAATGTTCAACAGTAGCTCTATATGATGGCATCTTGAATGAGGCAGCAAATGAGTGGTCACCTAAGGGAAAGCCAGAAGACTAATCCACCAAACAATAAGGCCAGACACCAAACGACTCAATGCTTAGCTCGCAGGCACTAAAATCTGGCTCTGTGAGAACACTGAGACTCAGTCTCAGGCCTTCACCAAACCACCAGTGCAGATGTATAAACTAGAACATCCAATTACTCCCTTAAATGAACAGTAAATGAAAATGGAAGTATGACTTCTGGTCAAGATGGCAGCATAGGTAAATACGGTTCACACAACCACAAACAAATTACAACTAAAATATAAAACAACCATCACTCAGAACTATCAGAAATCAAGTTCAATGGAAGTCTGACAACTACAGAATTAAAGAAGCCACATCCACCCAGAGTAGTGGGAGGGGTGGAGATGTGGAATGGGCTGGTCCCACATCCATATGCAGTAGAAAAAACTCAGGAGGGACTTCTCAGTAGTGAGGAGTCCCAGCCCCACACTAGGCCCCCAGCCCAGGGTTCTAGTGCCAGGAAGATAAGTCCTCATAAGTTCTGGCTGCAAAAACCAGGGGAGGATTGAGTTAGTGGAAGAAACTTCTGGAGTCCCAAGCAGTTCCTCTTAAAGAACTCACACATGGACTCACACAGACACACACCTTCTGGCTGCAGCACCACTGGTGTAGTAGCTTGAAAGGCATACAGGGAGGAACTGAAGTGTCTGGCATCTAGGTGGGAGCTGGGGGACAGCTTTCTCCCAGAGAGAAATGTAGGCAGAGGCCATTGTTACTTTTCTGAGCCCTCCCCCGACAGATCCACAGAGCTATATCTGAGATTCCATCTACCTGTTGGCCCTGCCCTGGAGATCCCCTGGGAGTTTGTCCTACCCAAATTACTGGTCCACCAAGACTGTTAACCACAATTTTTCATACAAATGGCTGGTCTTGGCTCACGCTTCACAACTTCTTAAATCCTATCAAACAAGAAACAGCTAAGTGGCCCCAGGCCCAGCACTAGCAGCAGCCAGCCTAGATTCACAACTTGACTGTAGCTGGGAATCTCCAAGCCCAGCACAAATAGCAGACATCTCAGATTGCTTTATAGCTCAGGCAGGGTGGCCCTGAGCAGAACATAGGTGGGGGCTCACCTTGGCCTGCACACCAGGGAAACCCCATAGCTGGTGCACCCAGCAGACAGCTACAGACCACACTGGAGCACCATAACCTTGCCCCTGCACAGCTGACTCTCTAGATAGTGGAGGCTGGCGGCCAGTGGTTATAGGAAGTCCTTGCAGGTGACTGACCTGGGTTAATTCCCTCCCATTGTCTGCCAACAGCAAGCAAGGCTCAACTACAAGAGGGTGTACTCAGCCCACATGAAGGGCACACCTCGAGTGGCCAGCTTGGGTGAAAGGCGAGGCTGTGCCACTGGACCCTACAGGTCACCTACTGCATTAGGCCATGCTATCAAGGCAAGGGGGTTATAGCAGCTCTACCTAATACACAGAAACAAACACAGGGAGGCTGCCAAAATGAAGAGACAAAGAAACATAGTCCAAATGAAAGAACAGATCAACACTCCAGAAAAAGAACTAAACAAAAGGAGGTAAGCAATCTATCACATGCACAATTCAAAACACTGGATATAAGGATGTTCAAGGAACTTAGTGAGGACCTCAACAGCATAAAAACAGACACAGTCAGAAATGAAGGATACACTAATTGAAATAAAGAACAATTTACAAGGAAACAACGGTAGAGTAGATGAAGCTAAAAATCAAACCAATGATTTGGAACATAAGGTATTAAAAAATAACCAATCACAACAACAAGGAGGTAAAAGAATCCAAAAAAATGAGGATAGTTTAAGGAGCCTCTGGAACAACTTAAAGCATCTCAACATTCACATCATAGAAGTGCCAGAAGAAGTAGATAAAGAGCAAGAAATTGGAAATCTATCTGAAAAAACAGTGAAAGAAAACTTCCCTAAGTTGGTGAAAGAAATAGACATGAAGTCCAGGAAGTAGAGTCCCACACAAGACAGATGCAAAAAGGCCCACTCCAAGACACATCATAACTAAAATGCCAAAAGTTAAACAGAGAATGTTAAAAGTAGCAAGAGAAATGCAGTTGGTTATCTACAGTTGCTTACCATAAGATTGTCAGCTGATTTCTCAAAAGCAGCTTTGTAGGCTAGAAGGGATTAGCAAGAAGTATTCAAAGTCATGAAAAGCAGGGACTTACAGCCAAGATTGCTCTACCCAGCAAAGATATCATGTAGAATTGAAGGGCAGATAAAGAACTTCCCAGAGAAGAAAAGACTAAAGGAGTTCACCATCACCAAACCTAGATTGATTGAATGCAGAGACCTAAAAAAAAAATGGATGGGTAACAATGAACTAACTCTCTCCTGTTAGCATGCCACCCTGGATGACCAATGGTGATGAGAAGGCTGTTTGGTGAGCCTGGCACCAGAACCAAGAGGCTCAGGTGGATGCTACTTCCACACCTGCTAGCCACATGTCTTCACACTTTTGCTCCTAATTCCTGCTGCTCATTTTTTCTTCAGATGTCTTGACTGTGGTCTACTCTTAGGCTGATCTCTGACATTATGTATGGACTTTTTAAAAAAAGATTTTATTTATTTTTTAGAGAAGAAGGAAGGGAGAAAGAGATGGACAGAAACACTGATGTGTGGTTGCCTCTCGCAAGCCCCCTCCTGGGGACCTGGCCCACAACCCAGGCATGTGCCCTGACTAGGAATCGAACCCACAATCCTTTGGTTTGCAGGCTGGCACAGCCAGGCTGTGTTGACTTTTTTAAAAAAATCCAATTCTGTGTCTCACTGGTCTATATAACTTTTTTCCCCACATAACTTCTTTGCACCAGTCTTTTAAATCTTATTTGTCTAGATATTGAGACATAAATTCATTAAAGCAATCAGATGCCAAAGTTTTTTCTTCACCCACTTTGGACTTTAATTTCCTCTTAACCAGCTCCTATCAATGCTGATGATCTGATATCACCAGGCTGCTTTGAACCACCTCTGCTTTGTAGCTGATAGCTGGCCCACTTCCCTCAATAAAGACCCATGTATGGCAGACTTGACCAACAAATGACCAGAGCATGGAGTGACAGCAAAAGTACTCATGGCTTTGGATTCCCAGGAAGCCAATCTGTGTTACCACCCCCCAAAATTTCTCCTCAGCCCAAAACTTTAACCCTGGTAAACAAATTACCCAGTCAAGGTATGGAAACACAAAGAGGAAGTTGGACCACATTAAATATGATCCAATTTAAACTCATTAAAAACACTGAAAATCTCAAGATCCTCGCACAGCAGTGTTCACATGGACAACACAGTCCCTCACAAATATTTTCACTTTCATAAGCCCTAAAAGCCTAATGAAAATGTTAGCTTCTTGTACTTTTTATTTATACTATAATCAAATATATGTATTTTAAAAATTTTGAGGGGCAAAAAGGTTTTATCACAATTATGACATTTCATACACTTATAAAAGGAATTTATCTAGTTTTAAAAGCCGAGATCTAGAGTCAAATTTCACAGAAGTCAAATACTTTTTTGCTGAAGCCAACTTTATTGGACTTTAATTATAATTTTTAAAGAACGATCATATTACATGTTCTGAGACAGAAAAACCTATTCTTGAAAATAAGCAAGACTTGACGGAAACAAAAGAAACCCTTAAAATGTTAGAACCACTTAAAAACAAAATATTTGCCTAGCTTATAAAATACAATAGTATTATAAATGCTTACATTTATGTATTAGTTTATAACATATTTACATGTTACTTGTCTATAATAGAGTTATATTAGTATTGTTACTTTATAAAACTTACCAGAAAACTTGATATCAGTTGAGTTATACATAATTTTCCTAAATATCAAAGGCCCTGATTTCTAAAATGAAAAACAACATAGAAAAATCATGTTAAAATTTTCTTCCCTACTGTTTCCAAGAGTATAGCTTTACTCTGGAAAACATGTAGTTCTAATCCTTGCTGTCCTCCCTATGACCAGAGTGATTACTTTTAAAAAATATAAATCTGATCACATTACTCATTTGCTTAAACCCTTGCCCACATCTCACCTCCCTGCAGTTGGCAGGAGGCTCTGGAACACCCCTGCCTCCGCGTCCCAGTCAGGGGCCAGCAACACCTAGGAGGTGAGGGCTGCTGCCAGTGTACCACCATGTACCTGCAGTTGGTGTCTGTGTGACAGTACTTCTGATAAAATACCCAGCCCTTTCCCATACTGTGCATTTACAGCAGACCAGTGAGGAACTGCAGCTCATACAGCCCTCCATCATCAGGGCTACTCACTTCTCTAGGACCTTTCTTTCAGCTCCTCCAAAGTATGTACTCCTTCCACTCAAAAATGTACTTAAAAACCCTTCCCTGTCACTCTTTCTTCACCTCATCAATTCCTTCTTACCCTCCAAAGCCCAGTTCCAAAGTCCCTTCCTCAGGAAGTCTTCCACCATTCCCCACACCAGGCCAGGCCCTCCCTTACATGTTCTCTAGGACCCATTCTTCTTTACAACCCCTCCCACAACTAAAACTAGAAAATGTACGTGTTAGTTGTTAGATGTCTGCCCTCACCAAGAATAAAAATGCTGTGAGAAGGGACTGTGTTAAATCAACAAGTGGTTAGGAATGAAAGAAAAACAGAACAGGCAGCTCTTTCCTGAAAACCCCTCCACCTTCCCCAACATAGTTTCAACAGTAACTATAAATAACAGAATCCCCAGCCCCAGTCAACAATAAAACCCACAGCCCAGATCCCTCCTCTGAGTGCCAGATCCAGCTGCCTAAAGGTCATGTCCACTGGGATTTCCGACACCCATTCCATACCAACCTTCCCTAAACCATATACACTCCTCACCACCTCTTCCGGCACTGTTCATATTGGTTGTAGATGATGCCACCCAGTCACCAAGGCTCCTTCCAGTTACCTCACCTCCACTGCCCACCTCCCAAGACATGCCTATTTATCTCATAAACACTCCCCAAACTTAGCTCTTGCTCTCCATTCCTGCTACCACTGCCCTAACTCAGGCCCTCAACATTTTCTGCCTCCACTTCCATAATAAACTAACTCGTACCTTTGCCTCCAGATCTGATCCTGAGATACCAGCCACAGTGGAGCTCTCTTAAAGCTCGGGTTTACTAAATCCTTCAATGGCTCTCCCTCATTCACACCCAAAAGGTGCTACAAGTGGCCTGGGGGCATAACCCAACTTATAAATGGTTTTTTTTGGTTTTTTTTTTAGCAAACAAGGGGCCCTTTTTAAAAAAAGTCTTTAATTCATTCACATAATACAAATATGGATTCTGACTTTTAAAAAAGTAGACCTGGCAGTTCGTGCCTAGCCTGCCATATAGTATCCATCAGTGGGGCTGGATGGCAGTTACCCTTTTCATAAGGGGCATGCGACCTTAGTCCACTGCACACCCCCCACTGCTCCCCCCAGTCCTGAACCCAGCTCACTTCACTCACTAATACTATTTATCTCAGACCTCTCAGGTCCTTGAGTTTAGACCCCTGGCATCAGGTTCAAGGCCAAGCTACGACACAGAAGGCTTATCTTATGGTGGCCTGAGTCTCCTGTAACACTCCTGACAGAACAGCACTCAGCAGAAACAACAGCAATTTTTTTCAGTGCTGCTGCTCTACTCACTCCTTCTTTACCAAGGTGACACCTACTCATCTTTTAAGATCCAGCCAGCCACTGACTCCAGAAAGTGGGACTGGGTGCTCATGTAATATATCCCAAGAATGCCACCAGGTATGTAATTCCTACTCAGGAATCTGCTGTCCTTACTGTGTGGGCTTTGTGAGAAAAGGGACTGTTTTCTGAAACTCACCTTTGCAACAGCAATGGCCAGTGAAGTGCATGGCACACAGTAGGTGCTTAAACTATTTGCTGATCTTTACAATCAAAACCACCATTGGACAGATTTGTAGTACAAATGAAAGGAAGCTCTACTCTCAGGATCTGAAATTCTGAAAACTTGAAATAGGAAAAAATTCAGCCCATTCTTTGCAAAGAAGGGCTTTATGGGCTGCTCCTGACCTGAGTCACACAGGACTACAGATTATGTGGGACCAAGGAAAAGTGTCTCTTCTTCAGGCAGGAATCAAAGTCATTCTGTCTCCGTGGCCTTTGGAGTTTCGCCATTCAAAGTATCCTTGGCAAAGATCCTTATAGATATGGTTAAGTCATTTAGCAATCTGTATGCAGCTGATTCACTTCCAATATTGTTCACTGCCTTAGTTTAATGACACTGCCCATTCACTTCAGAAGCTGAGTATGGTTCTCCGAGCTTTGCTTCTTACTGATCAGAGAAACGCAACACACATGCGCAGGCTCTACCACTGCGGCACAAAAGAGGGCACTAACCCACTAGGATCCTGTTAGAAATGGTTGCCCTGGGTTGTAAAGATTCTTAAGATTGCTACTTTCGTTCTTATGTGCAGCTTTTATGTTGTGGGAAACATAGTTTCTGATACTACTTTTTCTGGTTGAGAACACCAAAATATGAGTTTTTGCCTTTATAACTTGGACATCATTTCCATGGGTGTGGGAAATGCGTCAAAGATAGTCGAGTCATCCCATCTAGAGATAACTCTTCGATTTCCGGTCCCTTTTTAACACGACTCTCCAAAATGCTACCTCCTGCGCTTGCCCACATCCACCCCCCATCCCACATCTGTCCCACACCCACTGGACGCCAAGTGCTGAGACGCCTATCCTGGAGGGAGAGTTCCCACAGACTGCGGCCTGCACACTAGCCCCCAGACGCTCTATCTGCACACCTAGGCTCCCAGCACTGCGGAACTCTGGGGCCCACTAACAGGGAACAGGGTGGGTGGCTCCGGCGGGTACCCCTCCCACAGGCAGAGAAAGCGGAAGCGGCATGCGCACTTTCTTCTTTCTGCCGGAACTGAACTGGAGTCTCCTGCGTGGCCTCACGGTGTGGCCTGCGAACAGCCTGGAGAGCGGTGCGGGATGTCGCTGAACACAGAGGCCAGGGTCGGTCCTCAAACGAGTCCTGAAAGGGCTACAGAGCAACCGACCCCCGCGCGGACGGACCCGTCACCCCCACTCCCCGCCTAGCAGAGGACGGGCGCCCGCGGGATGGAGCCTGCCTGGGCACGCGGGCCGAGTGGTACCACTTACGTCGCTGACCGTCATTGCCCAGAGCCCAGGCTCGGGGACGGCGCGCACTGCCACCGGGGCCCAGCAGAGCAGGCAGAGCGTGGCGCGCATCAGCAGAGCCCTCTCCGGCGGGCTGCGGCGCGCAGCGGCCATCTTGACGATGAGGCCACCAGGCTCCGCCGCAGCACCTGTGCCGCTCCGCCCCGAGGCAAGGGTGTTCGGTCCGGGAAGCCCGGGCCGGGTGGCAGTTGGAGGAGGAGCGGGAGCGTGGGAAGTAGGGCGGGCGTGCGGGGGGCGAGGCCATGGTGGGGGCGGGGCCAGGGTGAGGGCGGGGTCGGAAGGGAGCCTTGAGGCGGGGCTCTGGGCTGGTCTAAGTGAAGGCGGGTTCAGTAGGGAGCAGGTCTCTTGTCCCAGATTCCGCCTTGACACTGGGGTTCTCAGCCGTGAGAGTACGGGGTGGAGTTCCAAGTTAAAGTACTGTTCCGTGGGTCTCAGTTTCTTGTATCCGCTGCACATGCCCCTATCTGGGTCCTCTCAGCTTAGAGGAAACAGATGGCTCTGTAAATTCATGAAACGTACTTTGAGGTCGGGGTCAGCAGAACCCAAGGCATTGTGCTTTGAACAGAATAGTTAAAAAATTTCAGAACACATAAAATTGCCTTATCACTTTAAAGTTCAGAGGGGCAGGGGGTTGGGGTGCTTTGTCCAGCATTTTTGGCCATGAAGCTGAATAAATGTATTGTTGTCAAAGAGAACTATTTTTATTATTATTATCGAATGTAAATAATGTCAAGAGGGAGAATACAACCCTGGATTAACATTGTTATTAACGTACACTAGGATGGATTTATAGTTCAGAGTCCCTGGCTGTCTTATCAGTCACCCTGGCCACTTTCAGCAGGTAATTGAGGGTCTAGTGTGTACTGGAGATGACACGTTCTTCCGCCTTTCCCAGCAAGCAGTGCTGTGCCTGTGTCGGTGGGAGTAGCGGTGTCACAGGAACATCCATCACAATTTTAGAGGGTAGGTCAGGTGGGAAGAGAGGACATGAAATGACATTAGGATCTACAGAAATTAGAAGTGAGTTAGCTGTGGAAGTCAGGCGTAGGTTTGAAGGCGTTTTGGTTAAGCACAGCCTGTGCCAAGGCCTGGGGGAACTGTAAGACCTTCCAGATGACTAGATTTTGGTGTGAGATGGATATGGGAAAGACTGGGAATATTTAAACAGAACCAGAACATACAGGTCTTCTTAAGCCCCATTAGGAATATAGTGCTTTAGTCTAAGGACTTCAAACAGGCAATCATGGTTTTTAAGCAAGGTTGATGAGGTGACCAGAAACGTCATTTTTGTTGTCATATGAAAACTGTTAAGGTGGGCAATAGAATGACTAGTTAAATAATATTTCAAAAATTTTATAACCAGTTAAGAATAAGGTGCAGTAATTTAGAGTTGGTGATCTCAACCACAGAAGTAGCTGTGAAGATGGAGATTTGGAAGATTCTATAGACGTGGGGAGTGGAGAATTTAAATAAGAAAACCTGGTGATTGATTAGATATTGGGGCTTAGGAAGGAGAGGCTGGTATCATGGTTTCTGGCTGGAACAAGTGAGCTATGGAACTTCCAGAGGAGGAGAAAATGTGAACACATTAGGTCCAAGCTCTCCCTGGGAGCAATATAGTGAAAATGAATCTGATGTTGGGAAAAGCAATTGGGATTTTGTGGTCATCCTCATGTAGACAGAGTTTGAAGAGGGTGAGGCTGCCAAGGGAGACCAGAAGAGTGGGAGGAGAGGAGCAGTGGAGGCTGGATCCTGAGGAATAAAGGGTCATGAAAGGCATAATCAGCAATTGGGACTCAACCCCGGCCATGCAGGAAAGTCACTGAGGAGTTTTACAAAATACCCAGTTATCAATTCTAGAAAGATTGGAAGTGAATATAGTATAGTTTTTAGTCTACCTGGATATTCCCATAATCCTCCCCTAAGATAGCATAACCCAAAAACCACGGGCAATGTGCATAACACATCAAGACAAAGTATCCCTCATAAAGGTGCAAATACAAGTAGTTGTTATCAAGTAGGAAACAAGGGGAACAATGAGATATCCGATGGACCTGAGATAGGGAAATCCCAAATCCCCCCTAGGTACTCACTGGAAATCCAAGTTTGGAGGCAGAACAGAGGAGGAGCTCCCATACAATCTGATTTGCAAGTGAAGGCAAATGTTTGGAAGGTTCTGCAGAAGTCTGGGCCTTACACATTCTTGAATCTAACAAGTGTACACTTTCATACAGACATTGTTCCATGATGAAGAGAAACTTGGAAGCAGAATTCAAATTTAGCAGGACAGGGACAATATGAGAGAAAGAGAAGATTCTGATAAAAGTGGATGAGGTAAACAGAGCCAACAGATTGGAGCAAGTTCAAGGCCATTTTCTTAAAGTAGTTCATAAAAACAAGAGGCAGCTATAGAGGATGAAGCTAGAAATTGTATTCAGTACTTCCTAAAAGTTTAATAAAATTAATTTAATATAAGATGAGCAATAGTGAAATTTATGGAAATATAAAAGAGAATGTGGAGCAGAATATATCCCTTCTGGGAATGAAAGCATACCAGAAAGAAGTACCCACAAAAGAGCTGAAACTGCAAACTACTATTTCAAAATGAAATGAAAAATTAGTAAAATGAAAGGAGATAGGTGGTAGAATTCAGGAAAGAATTAGAAATGAAAACAGAGATAAAGACTGAGGTAGAAGGAACACGAAGGTGAATAAAAATCTTAAAAATATAGAGAGGTAAAAGTGAGATGAGTATTAAAATCCAAAATAAATGAAGATGTAAAAGTTTAAAACATTCAAATAAGAACTATGAGACTTTTTCTTCTTAATTCTCACCTGAGGAAATGTTTGTTGATCTTAGGGAGGAAGGAAGAGAGAGAGAGAGAGAGAGAGAAACATCAATTGCTTGCCTGCTGTACATACCCCAACTGATTAAACCTGCAACCTAGGTATGGGTCCTGACTAGGAATCGAACCTGCAAGCATTTTTTGGTGTAGGAACAAGTTCCAACAACTGAGCCACTGGCCAGGGCAAAATTAAGAATTTTTGAAAGAGAAGATCCTTTGTGCATTCAGGTAAAAAAAATGAAGAGTCTAAGAAAAACTCAGATTGTCATATAAAATTTTGATAATAATGCTTTGTACCAGAAGACAATGAAATAGCATCCTTAAGTTATGCTGTGAAAGAAAATGAGCTCTAAGGGCTTTTTTTTTAAAGTAAATACATTTTTTAAAGATTTTATTTACTTATTTGGAGAGAAGGGAAGGTAGGAAGAAAGAGAGGGAGAGAAACATCAATACGAGAGACAAACATTGCTCACTTGCCTCTGAGATCCCCAACCAGGGACCAGGCTGGCGACCCCAGCATGTGCCCTGGCTGGGAATTGAATTGGCAACCTTTTGCTTTGCAAGATGATGCCCAACCAATTGAACCATGCTGGCCAGGGTTCTAAGGGTTTTTTAAAATTCATCCACATGCCAGGTACAAAAATGTTGCCAATAGTATTATTTGTACTGGTCCCAAACTGGGAACAACCCAATTGTCCATCAGCACTAGAATGGATAAACTATTCTTCCAACTGAATTCAGCAATGAGTGAATGAACCTCAGCTATACAGAGTCACATGACTGAATCTCACAAAGCGCGACATTGGGCTGAAGAAGCCAAACACAAAAGGATACATATGGTATAGTTATGTTTTCATTTACAAAAAGTTCAGAAACAGGCAAAACTAACTTATGGTGTTAGAAGCCAGGATTATATACAGTGAGTTGGATTCTGCAGGGCCTCACCCAGTTTGAGCCATGGTTCTCATATTGGCCAGCAGTGCTTTCCAATGAGCAATGATGGGGACTTTGAGGTTCTGTAATTCTGATCTGTCAAATGCCCCTTGGTGGGGAATACTGACTGAAGAGGGATAAGAAGTTTTCTCCAGGGGCCAGCAATGTTTTTTCTCTTGATCTGAGTGCTGGTCTGTGGTGGATACTGGCCAGCAGTATTCATCCCTGCTGCGCATGCTCATCAAAACACGAGAAAAACATACCCAGAGACAACAGGGGCCTGTGGGGAAATAGGGACAAAAAGGCCACTCTCTCTAGGGGAGAGCATCCCCTCTTTCCACCCAAGCACGTTTTTATTAAGAATTACAGACACAGTTTGTGGATTCACAGTCTGGCAGGAAAGATCAAAAGGAATAGGTAATTTTCAAAGGGACTGACAGAACTCCTGCTGGGATTCTGGGCAGTTTGGAGTTTTATCATTTGAAAGGACTACAGGGCCCAAAAGTCTAGTTTTGTTTTCCTGTCTGTGCCTTCATATTTCTAATTTAATAACATTCTCCAGCAAGCAGATCTCACAGGATCTTGCATATTCTATGTTCCAGGCCTGATTACCCCGGGGGTCCCCAATTCTGATCTGGGCTGTTTCGCCCCTGCTATTTCTGCAGGCCTGAGTCAGGCAGAGGAGACAAAGGCAGCCAGGAGACTTGCAATACTCACAACTAAGAACAAGGACTCAGGCTTTGACAAACCCGAGGGGGCAGGGGTCGATGTCGATCACCCCTTCATTTCCACAGCCCAGAGTCTCTTCCCTGAGGCCTCCTCATGATCATACCTGTCTTAGGCAATTCCCCCCATGGGAAATCTTACCAGTCATTGGCTAACTGATCAAGCATAGGAGGCCAGGCACAGAACAGGCAGCGTTCATGCCAGGGAAGTAAGTTTTGTCTCCTTAGAGGCTCCTGGTCTGGAGGTCTCTCACTCAGCCTAAGTCATGGGGGGTTACAGCTTCCTGAGATCAGGCAGGGCGGACCCCAACACTGGTCACATAGGAGAGTTAGTTCAGTGTACCAATCTGTACACTTAGTTGTGTACTTTTCTAAATGTGTGTTAACCTTTAATTAAAATGTAAAAGAGAAGAGATAAAAGAAAATATATCCATATGCCTATTTTTGCAAAAATAAAGGAGAAATAAAACTGAAATAATGAAATGGGTTAGCTATAGATAGGATGGAAGGATTAGAAATAAGAGTCACTTCTATTATACTTTTTGTTGGTTTTGACTTTTGAATCTCATTAATGTTTTACATACTGAAAGAATTAGAATAAAGAGTTCTGGCCAACATGGAGGCATAGGTAGAAACACTTTGCTTCCTCGCACAATCAAAAGAGGATATCAAACAATCTAAAAACAATAAACAACCAGAAGTGCCAGAAA